TGGACTCAGGCTTGACAGTCTGAATTTAAATTCCCCGTCGATTTAAATACTATGCACAGATAGCATTAACTGTTTTGCTGTGCGGTGCTAGGGGTTGAACCCAGAGCCTTGGAGAACTAGTCAAGCCCTATTGCTGAGCGACATCCCCAAAGCCCACACTTGCTTTTTTTTTTTTTTTTTTGGTTTTTTGAGACAGGGTTTCTCTGTAGCTTTGGAGGCTGTCCTGGAACTCACTTTGTAGACCAGGCTGGCCTCGAACTCACAGAGATCCACCTGCCTCTGCCTCCCGAGTGCTGGGATTAAAGACGTGTGCCACCAACGCCCGGCCCACACTTGCTTTTTAAGCTCTGTACTAACTCTCTGTGCACTGAAATCACTGCAAGATTAATTGATTCTGATTTTTAAAACTAAATACTTTCTATTTTAAAACATTTGTTTATTTTTGTGTGTGTGCATGTGGAGAAGGGTGCACACACACTCACTGTGTGTGTGTAGGTCAGAGAACAGCTCTTGGTTGCCTGTTCTCTCCCTCCACCAAGAAGGTTCCAGAATGGCACTCAGCTCGCCAGGCTTGGCAGTGAGCTCCCTTACCCCTGAGCTGGCTCAGTAGCCCGACCTCTTGCCTTTTTAAACACTTAAAACATTTCATTGTTTTAATTACGTGCATGTATGTGTAGCTGTGTGCACAGGAGTGCATGTGTCCACAGAGGCCAGAGGTGTCTGGTCCCCCTGGAGCTGGAATTATGGGCAGCTGTGAGCCACAAGGTGTGTGTGCTCAGAATCGAACTTGAGACCTCTGGAAGAAGCATGTGTATCCTTAAGCTCGGAGCCATCTCTCCAGTCCCTAAACTATTTTTTTTTTAGACAATAGCCACCAAACTGCAAGATTGCATTCAATGCATTACATAAACCAACCAGCAAAGCAAAACAACACAAACCAAAACAGTGAGCAAAGTCAGCCTTTCTCACATTAGTATCATCTGGGGAACATGCGAAGCTTCACCGGGGCTCTCTGAGCTAACTGGTCAAGACCCCCGTGCCACCAGGAGAGGAAGTTGAGGCACAGGTTTATCAAATGACTTGAGGTACTTGGAGAGAGGCAGAGTTCCCTGGCAGATGGTGGGCCCTTGAAGGAGAGGCACACCCCACACCCCCAGGGATGCAGAGGTGAGCTCCGTCGGCAACATTTCACTCATCAAGCTCCTCACACCCAGGAGGAGGAGCTCACAGGTCGGAGCATCCCTCATAGATCACTCGAAGGAGGAAGGGAGCAGCTTAGACATGGACCGATGTGGACACTGGGCCGGGGTGCTGCATTACCGGGAACCTCGTGCAAATTAGACATCTCTACAGTCCAAACTACTTTCCAGTTACTCAGAATCACACATCTTTTCACAGCATCCTGTAAACTGCAGGGAAGTCACAAAGCTCACTCAGGCTTTGACTCCCCCCTGAATATTTTCCTTCGTGGCATTTAAAAGCATAATTTTATATTACATAAAACCATGCCACGGGTTGTGGGGGCCCACAGTGGTAGGCAGAATTATTCTGGAGAGGCTAAAGCAGGAGGATCACTACTTCGAGGCTACACCTTTAAAGCTAGGGATGGGGGAGCATGCCTTTAGTCCCTGCACTCAGGAGGCAGAAGCAGGAGGATCTCTCTGAGTCCAAGGGCAGCCTGGTCTTCATATGAGTTCCAGAACAACATAGTGAGATCCTGTCTCAGAAAAAAAATTATCTGGCTGTTTTCGTCCTTCAATATGATTATTGCAATCATTAATTACTGCTAATTCAGAACCCACCCCCGTGGGAGGTTGACAATCCCTTGACATTCCAAGGTTTTGTCTTTTAGTATCAGCTAATACATCTTCCGAGGGGTACAAGGATTGACTCTTAGCCTCAGACACGCTAAGCAAGTGCTCTGCCATTGGGCTACGACCCCCAGTCCTCTTTTCTCATTTTTATTTGGAGATAGCGTCTAAGTCGCCCAGGTTAGCCTTGAACTCACACTGCAGCCCAAGCTAATCTTGAACATGCCATCTTCCCGCTTCATTCTTAAGTAGCCTGCACGAAACCCTGCTTGGGTGATGCATTTTTAATTTTTTTTTCCTATCAACTGTTTCAAGTTTAAGATCAGACCAAATGTATTATAGAAAACCAACGGCTTCAACAGCAAAGTCAGCATCGGTGAAGCTCACCAACTGAACGTAGAAACAAGAGTAGACATATGAGTTAGAGAATGGCCCGTTGTACAAGGCAAGAAGTGACTTCGCCTGTGTCCTGTGGCAGTTCCCATAGACAGCAGCAGGGTGCCAAAACATTTTCAAACTCACTTTCTGGGCTTCACAGGTCTGCTACGGGAACGTTTACTTCGATTCTGCCTTTCTTTTTTTGCAACATCTTATCACAAATTGCAGCGACCCGAGAACCCTTGGCACCAGGTAGACACCCCCCCCCCATCACCCAGCTAATTAAATATCCAAAGAACGGCTAGCTGGGTGGGAAGAGTGACAATAGGACATTTGTCCACTCTGCTTTTAAAGCAGTAATTCTCACTGGGCATTGGTGGGGCACTCCTTTAATCCTAGCACTCGGGAGGCAGGGGCAGGCAGATCTCTGTGAGTTCAAGGCTGGGCTGGACCGAAATACAGAGAGACCCTGTCTCGTAAAACCAAAAAAAAAAAAAAAAAAAAGCAGTAATTCCCAACCACAGGGGTCACAATCAGATGTCCTGAATGTCAGATATCTACATTACGACTCATAACAGTAGCAAAATTGCAGTTATGAAGTGGCAATGAAATAACTTTATGGTTTAGGGACATCACAGCATGAGGAATTGTATCAAAGGGCCGCAGTGTTAGGGATGCTGGGAACCACAGTCTTAGTAGATTATTCAGTGCCAGATGGCTTATATCTTCAATACACTCTACAGAACAACTTTGAGACATATTAACATTTGTGTGCGTGCATGCATGCACCTACCATGTATGTGCAGGTGCCCATGGAGGCCAGAAGGGAACGCCAGATCCGTGGGAGCAGGAATAGCAGATGGCTGAGAACTGAGTTGCAGTCCCTTCTAAAAGCAACCAGTGCTCTTAACTGCTGGCCCCTAATTTTTTTTAAGTATAAATCAAAACTCCCTGATCTGAATAGAGAGTTACAGCCTTGAAAATGGCAGGATGCCTTTGCCAACTGTTTCTTAGAGAGATTTCCTAAAACCATGTCCCCAAACCCTGCCTCCAGACTTCTCCTGCCTGAGAAATTAGTCTCCGGAGAAAGCGTAAGAGACTCCATGTTGTATCATGGGTGGGAGGGCAGAATTTAAAACTTTCTACATTGTATCTAAAGGCATCCTGGGCAAACAGCGACAAAAGGGTAGGAAGTGAAACCTAACCAGAGTTCCCCAGCCAGGAGGAGGCAGGAACTCACTAGCAGTCATTGTAAAGGGTTCATTCGACGTTAAGACCTTCGGGTCTTTTAAAAGCATAATCAAAGACACCTGCAAACAGAGTCCACATTTTCCTCTTTGAGGCACCAGAATCTGTGTGGAGAGAATTCACATGGCCTAGGAGTAGGACAGGGTACAGCACCCGGAACCAGGTGCCCCTATTAACTCAATTAGCCTTCCAAGTTGACCTCATAAAGAACAGCTATCTCCCTACACCTGGTCTGGTCCTCCTCACAAAAAAAAAAAAAATCATCATCACCATTTTGCGTTTAGGGGGTTTGCCTGCAGGTATGTCTGTTCACCACCTGCATGCAGTTCCTCTGGAGGCCAAAAGAGGGTGCTGGATCGCCCATGATTGGAGTTATAGGGGTTTGTGGTTACCACGTGGGGCTGAGGATCAAATCCGTGTCCTCTGGGAGAGCAGCCAGCGCTCTTAAGCCCTGAGCCATCTCTCCACGTCCCTCTTTCCCACTGTCAGAGGACAAAACAGTCCTGTTTCCAGCCAAGAAAATCTTTGACTTCCCTGTCTCAATTCCCCAGGGGTGTGACAGAGCCCCAGCCAGGAAGGCAAGCATGTGCCCGGGGCCTGGAGTGTTCCGTTCCTCTCATCTCCTTCTTTACAGGTAGAAAGCAGCACCTATTTCTACCTTTAATTTTCTGGTAGTTTGAGCCATGATCTCAAAATCAGTATCTGCTCAAGAATAGAGACTCTTTAAAAAGATTTCGTCTTAGGTGTGTGTGTGTGTGTGTGTGTGTGTGTGTGTGTGTGTGTGTATGTCTAGAAGAGGGCGTCAGATCTCCCCTGGAGCCGTAGTTACAGGCAGTTGTGAGCTGCTGGAGGTGGGTGTTGGGAAAAGAATTTGCATGTTCTGTAAGAACCATACATACGCCGGGCGGTGGCGGCGCACGCCTTTAATCCCAGCACTCGGGAGGCAGAGGCAGGCGGATCTCTGTGAGTTCAAAGCCAGCCTGGTCTACAGAGCGAGTTCCAGGACAGGCTCCAAAGCAATACAGAGAAACCCTGTCTTGGAAAACCAAAAGGAAAAAAAAAAAAAAAAAGAACCATACATACATGCCCTCCTACATACACACACACACACACATGTGCGCGCGCACGTCCCTGGTGTTTTTGAGACAGGGTCTCTCTGTATCGATTGCTGTCCTGGAACTCGCTCTGTAGACCAGGCTGGCCTCAAACTCACAGAGATCCACCTGCCTCTGCCTCCCTCGTGCTGGGATTGAAGGCGTGTGGCGCCACTATGCCCAGCACGCCTTACAAACTTCTAACGGGTAAGCCACCTCTCTGGCCCCAAGAATATAAATAAAAAAAAAATATGCAGACCATATTTGGTATCCTACATGTACATGTAAGAGATCTCTAAGCTTGACTCATTTGGCATAAATGAGCTTGTGGCCCCGCTTCCTTTATACTAAAAAAAAAAAAAAAGCAAAAGCCAGCTTTGGTACTAATGCCATTCTTTGAGAGAGAGAGAGAGAGAGAGAGAGAGGGAGAGAGGGAGGGAGGGAGGGAGGGAGGGAGGGAGGGAGGGAGAGAGAGAGAGAGAGAGAGAGAGAGAGAGAGAGAGAGAGAGAGAGAGAGAGAATGCTTAAAACTCCTAAAGTTCCAACTCAAAACTGGTCCATTTTGAACCATTAGATTCTGAACTCCATCTCAGCTGACCGGTTCACCGCCTCTGGTGAACCAAGGATGCCAGTAATGCCCTTTCCTGAAACTTGGGGTCAGGCAGTTGAACAGCTCTCCAGAAAACTAGTGCTCCTATTGGCTAGCAAGTAAATTCTGGGGACAGATAGGATTAAGGGCTTCAAAGAGGATTCCCCCAGCCCTCCCTCAAAAGAGGGTCAAACACTGTGGTCTAATTCTGGAATAAAATAAGCCGCTGGGAAGGAGAACGTGCCTGGTTACATGGCGGCATCCTACTGCTCATCCCCTCCCCATCCAGGGATGGGTAGGGGGAGGTCTTCTCTTGAGGCAAGCGAGCAGTGGATTCACCAGTTCCATCCACCACAGCGACTTGAAACAACCTTCTTGGTTTTCCCAAATGGGGTCACAACACCAAACCTCTCCTAGCTGCCAAGAAGTGCAATAGCATACCATAGAGAAAGCATTCTGAACCTCTATCGGCACGCTCTCCCAAAGCTTAGGCCCCAAAGGATTAAGGTGAATAAAACCCACTTACATCTTACTGCATTTTGCTTTTTGCCTAGGGAGCAAAATGGCCCCCTCGTTATGCTTGCCCCACACCTTCCCAAATTGCCCTGTCTTATGCACAGTGGGAGCTACTCACGAGGGTGAGGCCATCAAACGTGAGACACACGAGTTAACCCATCAAGCTCAATGGGATCCGGGTCACTGTGGACCGATTTCTATTAATAGGAGATAAAGCTCCTGCAGACATTAGAGGTAATGCCCTGACCGCCCTGTGCAGTTAACTCCTCTTAGACCAGTAAGCTAAAAATCAAAACATGTCTTGCCCAGGCAGATGCGTGCCTTGAAAGGATCGTGTTCATAAGCACACATCGGGTTCACTGCCTCTGTCTAACAGACCAGGCCCCCACGCCCATACTCTGGAAGGAGAAGGCGCAGCGGGTGGCCGTCGGGTGCTCAGCTCAGCTTGGCCACACATAAGGCGAGTGCCACGGCCACCAGCAGCACAGCACTGAAAACAGTGGCGGCCAGGGCCTTGCTGGGGTCGCAGGGTCCCGCTCGCTCCTCCACCGAAATGGCACCGGCCGAGGAAACACCGGACAGAAGTTCGGCGCCCGCAGCCTGCCGCGCCTGCACAGTCCAGCGGGGCACGTTGACTTTCATTTCCATGTCGTCGATCATCTCGCCCACTTGGAGGACTTCGCGCTCCAACTCGGGCAGATCGGCGACGTCGAAGTCGCCCCCGGCTTCGTGCCGCAGGCTGCGAGCGCTCAGGGCGCGCGCGGCTACCGCGGAGGAGCCGCCCGCCACCCCTGTGCGCACGAGCGGCCGGCGCGGCGCGTGCAGCGGGAAGGCGGCTCCCAGCGCCAGGGAGCGCTGCATGTCGGCCTCGAGCAGGTCCAGGCAACCCGAAAAGGCCACCCAGAGCCGCTCAAACTCTGCCCGCTCCTCGGTCGCCAAGCCCCGGTCGCGCAACGCGACCGTCAACCGGGAGCCGGTGGCCACGGCCAGCTCGCGCGCCTTCTGGCGGGTCTTCTGCAGCTCCTCGCGTAGGTCCTGCGTGTCCGCGGAGCCGCCCACGGTCAGCACCAAGTGATGGTAGCACGCCGTGGTCTTATTGAGCGCGTCCAGCAGCGCCTTGCACTCCTCCCGGGCCATGGCGCTGCCCTCCGGCGACGGTGCCCCCCAACTCGCACCCTTCAGTGTCGGAGGTCGTCTCCAGCCCCGATGCCAGCCTTGGGCTGCTCGGACCGAACGCTCCTCATGGCCTTGCCCCCTCCCCGTTCTAAACGGAGCTCTCCCGGGGACCCTCGACGTGCGCCTCCGACGTCCCCGGCGTGCAGAGGGAGTCCGGTTAGCTGCCTCCCATCCTCTCCTCCGTTTCCCCAGCCGCGCTCCGGGTCACTCGCAGTGTCTTTGCTCGACTTTCTCCTTCGCGGCGGCTCCCTGAGAAGTGCAGGGTGCAGACCCCATCCTAGGTTGACCCCAACGACTCCAGGCTGTGCGCGCCGCTTAGCTCGGGCCAAGGGAGGCAAGCAGGATCCAGTTTCCTAGGACACGCCTCCTGCCGCGGGTCTGGGCCCGGAGCTTCCTCCCCCGCCCTGGACCAGGGGGTAGGCGGGGCCCAGCAAGGGGAGGTCAAATGTGGTTTTCCCTCCTCTCCCTCTCGTGCGTTCCATCCATTGTGGTTCCGGAACCTTAGCGCCCTGCAGCTCCCAACTTTTTTTTTCCTGTTTTGAAGACGAGGAAACTTGAAACTCGGTAGAAAGAAGCTTATGCGGAGCCCCACCATGGTAGCGAGGAGACAGGACCCAGGGAACCCTGATTTTAGACCCTGTAGGCAACAGAGTACTGTGGCTCGGGGGACCGAGCACCTCCGTTCTGCGTCACCGGCAACACAGGGCGATCGGCCGGGCAGGATGGTTACCTAGGTGTGGGCTCTTCTCCACCGCCGTCCCGCCCCAGTTCAGGAACCCAGCTTGGACCCCACCCCTAGCGTCGGATCTTCCCCTTAGGTCCCGCCCTCTCGCATTCTGGGCACGCGCACTCCCCCGGCTCTGGGGCGGGGCTAGTCTGAGTAGGAAGCGCGGAGTCGCCTGAGTTCCACCTCTGACTGAACTGGACTTATGGATTGCTCTGTGTACATGTCAGTCTCGGTGATGATGACTTCTTATTGGACAGGCTGGGCCGAGGCTCCGCCCAACGGTGGAGTTAAGGGGTTGGCTGAAGCGTGGAGCTGGCCGCACCCGGGGTGGTGGGCACTCGGGTCCCGAGCCCGGAGCCTGGGAGGTGCTGCCTTAGCTCAGCGGTGAAACTATGTAGCTTCTTAAGTAAGTGTCCTCCGAGGGTGTCCCCCTGCGCCTCCCTACTCTCCCGGGAGGGCGCGGAGGTCGGCGGGGATCCGGAGCGGAAGGGGGGAGGGGTTCCCTGCGCTGAGCCGGAGCCCCGGGGCAGGGCTGATGGGGCCCCGGGGCCGGGGACTCGTTGAGGGCTGAGCCTCTCCCGTCCCCTTCTAGTTCCTCTGCTGTCCGCAGCGGGGCGCGCCTGGCCCACGATGCCCTCCGAGTCCCGAGGGAAGGCAAGGGAGGGCTCCACGGCAGGCCCGGGTCCCGGGACTTGGCTCAGGGGACAGAGTCGTCGCTCACAGGTCGTGTGACCTGGGAGGTTTTCTGGTGCCAACCTGGATGCTTGGGGAGCAGGCTGTGTGTCCAAGTCCCAGTCTAGGCCGGGCTGTTTGTGATCTTCGCGGGGGGGGGGTAGAGGAAGAGAGAGGGTATCCCTGCCTGCTTCTCACGTGGCGCCCGTCCTCTTGCCCAGTGGGTAGAAAATACTTCTGGAAAACTCTTAGGTAGTGGTCTGTTCAGTTTCTTGGGGTTGAAAACGGACTGTCCATTACGCGCGCGCGCCCCGCGCGCGCTCCAGGCGGTGCCCCTCTAGTCCCGCGTCCAGCTGCAGGGGGACATGGACACTCAACGCCGGGGAGCGGTGGTAGCAAGGGACACATCCTCGAGGAGCGAGGGGGACTCAGGGTGTGAGGGCTGATGAGACTGGACAGACACAGTGCTCAGTGGCTGAGAGTTGTTTCGTTCTGTGGAGAGGCTCCACTGTGCTCTTTAAACGTGGTCGACTTCCCACTGACTCTGGAGCGCAGCACTGCAGATTTGCATTTTGAGAGTCCTCCAGTTTGGGCCGTGGTGGCCTGGCAACTCGAACCCCACCCAGTACTTACTGTCACTTAGGAGTCGGCCCGCTAGCCAGTTCGGCTGGCCGTTTGCATCCAGAACTTGGATGCTGTGGGGCTTGGCCATTCTCTGGAGAGGATGGTGGCAGGCACACAGGGGCCACTCCAAGTTGGTGAGGTCACTTGGGTGTGGTTCATCGGGACAGGTGTATGTGAGATCTGGGAGACAGAGGTAGAGCATCGTCTTGAAGTTGGGTGATTGTGTTCCCAGGTTAGACCCTGGGTGGGCCCTCCAGCCGTGTTGCCGGAGCCGTGTTGTCTCACCTGAAGTCACACTGCGGGCAAGGAGAGTAGCAGTGGGTGTCTTCGCAGGCCCTGGGCTGGAGGCCGTGGGCCTGGACCTCTGTGTGCCCACGGAACTGTGCTTGCTTACAGCAGGCTGCCGCAGGCTTTTTTGTTATTGATTTGTGTGCGTGCTGGCCAATGATTTTGTGCTGTTAGGACACTCCCCTATTATTAGCTGGTGACATTAGGCTGGTGTCCAGTAACGTCTTCCTCTTCGAGGGGTGCCGAGGAACTCGAAGCAAGCAATTACAGACAGCAGCCTTAGAGAGGAATCTGGACTAAATGTTGTTGTGAGGCTGGCCGGCTGCCTTTGGGAGATGCTAGGGAACCGCCTTCAGGGTGCCTGTCCATCTGCCGGAGACCCTGGAGAGTAGATGGGGCTGCATGGTGGCTGCCGGGTGATAGTGTGGCATTCTGAGTAGTGATGGTAGCCCTCCAAGCTTAACTGCCCCCTGGCAGTCCCTCCCGCAACATTGTACATTTCAGTGTCACTGTGTTTGATCCGCTTTGAACGTCTTGTTTATTTTGGGCTCCTTTCCTTTTTGACCTGCATGGCTGCTGCCTGGGACCAACCCTTTACCCACCTGGGCAAGACAGCTGTCCTCTTGGCTTTGTAACAGCGTCCCAGTGAGCCAAATGCAGGGTTTGAAGAAAGATATAGCCGGGATCCGTAAATATTTACAGACCCAGGAGGATGCAGGTGACTACACCCCCCCATGCTTCCGTTGATATCATAAATGGATGAATAGAAAGTTTTCCTTTTTGGTCCCCCCCACACACACTTCGAATCACTTATCACTGGAGAGCATTGCTCATCACTTGGCCAGTGTGCCTGGTTATGGTCCTCCAAGGGCAGAGATAGCCACACTTGGTCAGGAGTGCCTCTCTGGGAGCCACGGACCCTCTGTGTTGGATTCTGGAGGCAGGACTTCATTCTGTTACCAGATGGGTCCTGACCACCCAGACTTTACCCGGGTTGGCAGGACAGGTTGAAGACCACAAAACCACACTGAACCGTGCACACTCTCCCCCTGAAATGTTCAGACTAGTTTGGGTGCCCCTTACAGCTATCTCGTTCACAGGGTAAGCTAGCCTCGGGTGGATCAAGTTCAGGGGTATTTGGCATTTCTGATGAATGCTACCGACTTTTCTGTTAGTTATTTTATGGTTGGAGGTCTGGCAGGGGTGGTCAAGACTCCTGGGGTGCTTGGAGTCTTAGTAGTTTTATGGATGCGTCTTGCTTAATTAAAATTTCTTTATCCTGGCCGGGTGGTGGTGGCGCACGCCTTTAATCCCAGCACTCGGGAGGCAGAGGCAGGCGGATCTCTGTGAGTTCGAGGCCAGGCTGGACCGACAGCCTCGAAAACAATACAGAGAAACCCTGTCTCGAAAAACCAAAACCAAAAACAAAAACAAAATTTCTTTATCCTGGTTTTCTGTGCTCACACAGACCCCCTGACCTCCCGAATCCTTAGCATTGCTCCGGTGATGTTTTCATCTCAGACCCCTTCCATTCCCTGCTATTCCTGTTCGTCTCTGGCCTTATCTCCTAGCTGGGGAGTGACAGTTTTGGGGCTTTGCCAGCGTGGCGTGTCCTTCCCCAGCTTGATCTCGACATAACGCACACACATCCTGTTTCTCAAGTGGTTTTTTTTTTTATCCAAAGCATCTTCTCCTGCTCACACTGCCCCGTGAGCCGACTATCAGAAACCAGGAAGAAATGCGGTTCCCCCATGACTCTGTCCCCTCAAAAAACAGAAGCATCCTCTGCTTCTTCTGTTGGGGACCCATAAAAGGATTAGCTAGGCTCCAGCAGTAATGGAATTCAATGAACCAAACACCCGAACTGCTGCTGAGATCTCCCAGGGGGGGCCCGAGGAGGGATTTGTTTGCGCCCTTTTTTTTTTTTTTAATTCTAGGTTCTTCTTAAAAGTCTCGTTTGCAGGTAGCGCCTTGGATCGGGCCCCAGCAGGGCCAGTAATCAATTTAGCTCTCGCCGGGCCAAGAGATTTGGTGTGGGGCCTGTGTGGCTGGCTGCCAAGCAGACTTTTTCCATCTGGGGAGATGGAGTTTGGGCCTGTCCATTTGTGGCTGACGACATAACCCTTTCCAGGTGTTATTCCCTCTGTCACTAAAGGCGTTATTCTAAACATTGGTTTTGTGTGTGTGTATGTGTATAGAAATTCGAGGACAGGAGCTGGAGAGGTGACTCAGTTGGTTAAAAGAGCATTGGCTGCTCTTGTAGAGGACCCAGGTTCAATCCCCCCCCCCACAGTCTGGGACACCAGTTCCAGGGAGATAATGACGCCCTCCTCTGGCCCCCACATGTACCAGGCATGCGCTTGGCTCGCAGACGTACATGCAGGAAAACACGGGCTTTGGGGCTTGAACTAAGGTCATCAGGGTTGGCGGCAAGCGCCTTTATCCACGGGAGCCCTGTTTCTCATGGCCACGTTAATCTTAATTTTAAAATAATGACCATATGTTGAAAGTATATTTAGGATAGGTCACAGTGTGCAAGCTGTTAAAACATCAGTTTCCGGCTGTTTTAAGTGTGGCTCCTACTAGACGTTTATATTACACACATGTATCGGCCGTGGTGGTGCATTATCTGTAGTCCTGGATGCTTAAGAGACTTGGGTTGCCAAGATCACGTAAGCCCAGGGGTTTGAGACCATGTGGGTACGAGAAAAAAAAAAAACAAAACAAGCACAGCCAGCTGGCAAGGTGGTGTCGCCAGCAAATGCACTCGCCACCCAGCCCCTGAGGCTCTGAGTCCCGTCCCCAGGACCTGCCCATATGTTGGGAGGAGAGAAGCAAGCCCTGGGAGTTGCCCTTTGACCTCCACATATAACACTGCAGTGTGTCGTGAAAAACAAAAAGAGAAAATGTGGTAATTCAAAATAACTACAATGAAAGACTTCCGTCTAGCCATATGGACCCCCCACCCCACTCGTGTCTGTAATTCCATTTTTTTTACCTACCTCTTTTTGAACTGGTCCAGACCATTGAAAACACGAGTGGGAGTTGAAATAGGACAGACGGACAGACACACACACACACACACACACACACACACACACACACACACACACGAGGACCTGGAGTGTGCCAAAAACAGCTTTCCCAGCTGCTGTGAAAGATGGAGATTTTTGCCAAAAGTGATGTGTTGGGGCGGTTGGCTTACCATATGGAAAGATGAAACTTAGCTGCCGATTTATAGCATGTGTAAAAATAAAAGCCAGATGGGTTGGATTTGGGAGTGTGAGAACGTCTAGGGTCTTTCTAAGTTATGTGGGGCTGCATTTGTGGAACTGCAGGGGACCTGGCCCCGGGTGGCCTTTGTTGTGTAAGCTAGTTAAAGTGTACCATCTGCCCTTGTCTCATTTTTCTCTGGATGTTCTTGTCCGCCTCACCTGTTTTAAGGGTGTGAGTGCATTTGGCTCCTGTTTAGCGGTGTTTACAGATCACTTAGATGACCCCTCTCCTCCTCCACTCCCCCCCCCCCACAGTTAAGTCAGGCCACAGGGCTGGCTCCAAATGAAAACACATGGAGAAAGCTGGGTGTGTAGCATTGTAGACCTGCTCCAATCCCAGAGCTAGGGAGACTTGAGGCAAGAGAATCCTGACTTTGAGATCAGGTGGGAGTAGGTACGTACGTTGGGAGACTCTTAATTCAAAACAACGGAGTCCAAGTGTTTGGGCATTTAGCTCATTGGCAAGCTCAAGACCTGGGGTTCAGCCCTCAAAACTGCGTGTGCCTGTGCATGTACACATGGGCAGGTGAGTGACACAACCAAAAAAAAAAAAAAGCCACAAAAAAAGCCAAGAACCAACTATGCTGGGCTTGGTGGCAAAAGCCTTTTATCCCAGCACTTGGGAGACAGAAGCAGGTGGGTCTCTTTAAGTTCAAGATCAGCCTGGTCTACAAGAAGTGAGTTTGGGGCTGACTGGTACACAGTGAGGCCCCGTCTGTATTCACAGCATTTTTTCCTCCCTTATCCCAGGAAGCTCACCTGGCCCCCCCTGAAATCCATATGGCTCTCTATGACGAAGACATACTGAAGAACCCTTTCTACCTGGCCCTCCAGAAGTGGCGCCCTGACTTGTGCAGCAAGGTGGCCCAGATCCACGGCGTTGTAAGTCTACCCACCCTGAGGGGTTTTGCTCACAAGCATGTGAGCCGTGTCAGAAATGTGGCAGGCTGATGAGACATTTAGAGGACACCAAGCTGCCAAGTTCAGCAAGGCCCTGGGTGTTAACCGCATGGTGGGGGACCACTCAGGCTGCTGCCTGGTGGAAACAGCCTCCTGGGACTGAAGTCTGGCGTCTTAGTTAGGGTTTCTGTTGCTGGGATGGAACACCACGACCAAAAAAGCAAGTTGGGGGGCGGGGTTTGTTTGGCTTGGGCTTAAGCATTGCTGTTCATCCCTTCCTTCCTTCCTCTCCCTCTCTCTATCTCCCCCTCTCTGTCTCCCCCTGTCTCCCCCTCTCTCTCCCTCCCTCCCTTCCATCTTTCATTCCTTCCTTCTTTTCCTTTTTTTTTCTGACTTTTTAAGACAGGGTTTCTCTGTATTGTTTTGGAGGCTGTCCTGGAACTCGCTCTGTACACCAGGCTGGTCTCGAACTCACAGAGATCCGCCTGGCTCTACCTCCGAGTGCTGGGATTAAAGGCGTGTGCCACCAGTGCCGCCCGACAACTTAACTGCTCTCTTGTACAGCTCAGGGACACCTGCTCAGGGGTGACACTGCCGATGGAGAGCTGGGCCCTCCCATGTTAATCATTAATCAAGGAAGTGCCCTATGGGCCAGTATGAGGGAGGCATCTTCTCGGTTGAAATTCCCTCTTTCCGGATAACTCTAGCTTGTGTTGGGTTGACAAAATAAGACAAAACAAAAAACAGGACAGTGGACTTTCTTCTTTTTCTTTTTTAGTGCCAAGGAGGAAAATCAGGACTTTGTACATGTTAGGCAAATACTCTATCATTGAGCCACACCCCCAGCCCCTCACTGGAGGATTCTAGGCAGGGGCTCTACCACTGAGCCACACCCCAGCCCTTCACTGGGGGATTCTAGGCAAGTGAACTGTGCCTCTATCCCAGCGTCTTGTGTGTATGAGAATTTGTGTGTATAAGGATACGTGTATATGAAGTGTGTGTGTGTGTGTGTGTGAGATTCCTCAGACACTACCTTTTTTTGTATTTGATACAGGGCCTCTTGTTGGATTATGAGAGATCCGTGTAGCTAGGCTAGCTGGCCTCCTAGTCCCAGGGCTGTCTGCCTCCTCAGCTCTGGGTGTGTGTGTGTGTGTGTGTGTGTGTGTGTGTGTGTGTGTGTGTGTGTGTACCACCAGACCTGTTTTGTTGTGTTTTTTTTTCTTTCACCTGAGTTCTAGGGTTGAGTTGGGCCCCACACCTCACTGACCGAGCTATCCTTGAAGCTCATTCTGGGTTTTATGTTTAGTAATTTTTCTTCATTAGGCATCAACCAGATATATTTTTTTTTATTTGTATTTGGGATGCCTTAGATTTCATTATTAAAAAAAAACAGAGGCAGAGCATGACGAGACAGGCCAGTAATTCACGCGTGCTGCTGGCTGAGGGCACATGGTGAGTTTGGGGCTGGCATATACTGTGTATTGAGACTCTCTCATAAAACCCCAGTGGACAGATAAGCAAACAAGGGGCCAGAGAGAAGGCTTGGTGGCTGAGAGCGCGTCAGGACCCAAACTCAGTGCTTCAATTACAGATGCTCACCGCCATGCTCAGCCCTTCTTTTGAAACGGTACAATGCTCTAGCCCCTCCCGAGATCTATGGGATCTACCTGAGGTCCACACTGCATGCATAGCTAGAAGTTTCTGGCCAACCGTGGAATGAACTGCTCTGCCAGCACACTCTGGGTGGGGCTGGAGCTGGGTGGCTCGATCTGCCGCCCCCCCCTGTTGCTCATGGTTCGTGGGATGGGGCGGGTGGCTCACAGACTGTCCGCCTGTGGGTCGGTGGGCTCTGCGTGTTTCTTAGCTGAGTGTCGCAGTTGCCTCTAGAAGGTTCCTCGTCCTAACAGTCACTTCTGAGAGAATACCGCCTGGTGTCAGCAGTCTCGTGCTTACTTTCTGTCCCACGAACTTGCCAGTGGGCCCAAGAATTAATCGGCCTAGCCAGTCTTCTCTCTGGAGATCTGGAACCCTTTATGGGTACAGCGTTAGCTTTTCTTATCGCTGTGACAACAAGCCAGACGGGAGCGACCCAAGGAGGAAGGGTTTATTGGGGGGGGGTCGAGGTTTCAGAGGGTTCCATCCCGTCACACTGCGGAAGGCATGGCGGTATTCGTGACGGCCGCAGTGCTTGGCAGAGACGTCCCCACACCATGGAGGAAACTGGGGGGGGGGGGCACGCGTGTGTAGGAACTGGAACCAGGTGGAAACAGAACCCTCAGAGGCCCACCATTGGCGACACCAGGCTCCTCCTCCTCCTAAAGGCTCCACAGACTCCTTGATGGCGGTGTAAGCTGCAGAAGAAGTATTTAAGACGTCTCAGGTTCAAGGCATAACCATGCAATGTTAAGAAAAGATCATCAACTCACCATTAAAAACTGTGTTCCGCTGGGTGTTGGTGGCGCAAGCCTTTAATCCCAGCACTCGGGAGGCAGAGGCAGGCGGATCTCTGTGAGTTCGAGACCAGCCTGGTCTACACAGCTAGTTCCAGGACAGCCTCCAGAGCCACAGAGAAACCCTGTCTCGAAAAAACAAAAAAAAAAAAACAAAAAAACTGCGTCCCAGCTTGGGGAGATGGCCTGGTAGGCTAAGGGCACTGAGGACCCGGGTTTGACTCCCGAATGGTGGCTCACAGCTGTCTGTAACTCTGGTTCTAGTGGACCCAACGCCCTGTTCTGGGGGCTCTGCGGCCAGTGTATGCGTGCAGTGTAGGCAAAACACCTGAACATACAAAACTAAAGCGATGGAATGATAAATAGGTGTCTGTAGTGTCAGCAACCTCTGACACTTCTCCCCCGCAGCCAAGCTGGCGAGATACCTGCCCTGCTGGTCTGTGCTAGCCGCTCCCACACACAGCCCTGCCGCCGCTGCTCAAGCTGGCTGCCTTCCAGGATGCCTCTTCCCCGGAGGACTCTTCTCGTGGAAATTCCTTCTCCCGCACTCCCGCGGGCCACCCACAGCTGTTCCAATAACGGCTTCTTGCTTTATTGTCCAGGCTGATAACGCACCCAGGGCTTCCGGAGTGGCTCCGGCAGGTCTGTCTCCTGGGACTCTCATCCATGGGCTGCTGCTCCCTGACCTTGTAGGAGAGATAATATACTTAAGATCTACCCCAAGCTGAGACGGCACCCAACACCCCACCCCACCCGCACCCTTCAGCGACTCGGCATTCATCAGGATGAGTAAAATAAATTCATTCAGGGTTACTTACACAGCAGTGGGTCGCCGCAGACAGCTACGTTGTTTTTGTTTTCGTTTCGTTTTCATTATTTTTATTTCATGTGCGTTCGTGTCTTGCCTGCATGTAAGTCTCCGTGAAGGTGCCAGGTCCTCTGGAATCACGGGGAGTTACGAGCCGCCTTGTGGGTGCTGGGAACTGAACTCACAGTCCTGTGGAAGAGCAGCCAGGGCTCTTAGAGGCCCCTCCCCCTGTCTCCAGCCCCCATGGCCACATTTTCCTCAAGTTGACAACCCACCACTTTTTTCCCGTCAGATTCCTGCTTTCATAATTACTCTGAGCATAAATGGAGAGTCAGTGGAGACTTCGGTTCAGGTGCTAGCCAGTGTCGAGGCAGGGCGGGTGACGGATAGGCTCAGATGATGTGTCGTGACGGTGCCGGCAACGCCAGACCTGGGGAAAGCTGGGTGATACTGATCAGACACACTGCCGGTGCGGCAAAAACTGCCCATGCTCTCTCTCCCTTGGAACAGGAAGGGGTTGCCCCCCCCCCCCACCTGCCATGTCTGGGGAAGGGGAAGTGTCTGGAATTGGAGGGTTGCCCTGTGCAGTCAGCAAATGTTGACTTACTCCCTCCGCCTGGCGTGCCTTGTGATGTGGGAGCCCTGTGCCGAGGGGGGGGGGCATGGGAAGGTGTGCCAGCCAGCAGACAGGATGTAATTTTAATTCCGGTGGGCGGAGCTTCTCCTGGTCCCATGGAGGCCAGAAGGCGGCCCAGAGTAGGACTGTCGGGGGAAGGTGTGTCGCGCTCCTCAGTGCATCACTGGTGGTCCAGACATTAAATGCCTCAAGCACCGACTGCCTCTAGGCATTCCCTTGGCTGGGACCCCCTTCTGCATGCGCTGAGCGTGTGCTGCTCATGTATGTAGTTGTGGGGCCCCCAGGAGAGCCCAGGAGTTGTTTCCCATTTCAGAGTTGATACCCGAACGCCTCTCTTTATTTTACAATTGGAATCTCAGATCTGAGCGGTCTGGAGAGATAGCGCTCAGCAATTAAGAACACTTGCAGCTCAATCTTGAGGTCCAGAGTTCGGGTCCCATCACCCAAGTGCCTGTAACTACAGTTTCAAGGAATTGGACAACAACCTTTTCTGGCACCTGTGTGCACCCAAACACACACAAGCTATCCTAAAAAACAAATGCATACAATTTCAGACTTTTTTTTTTTTCTTTTCTTTTTGAGACAATATCCTAGGCTGGCCTTGAATTTACTGAGGGTGACTTTGCGCCGATGAGCCTCCTGCCTGGACTTCATTGAGTGCTGGAATTACAGGCATGTGTCCATTTTTTATTTTAAAATGCCGGGGACTCAGAGCCGGGCGGTGGTGGTGCATACCTTTAATCCCAGCACTCAGGAGTCACTCTAAAAGGTATAGAATAGAATTTAGAGACAATAAAGGAAGTTTTATTTTTCCTGAATATAAACAGTGAAGACATGAACATCAGAAATTAACCGTGCTCTGAGAAAGCTGGGCGTTGGTGGCACACGCCTTTAATCCCAGCACTCGGGAGGCAGAGGCTGGAGGATCTCTGTGAGTTCGAGGCCAGCCTGGTCTACAGAGCGAGTTTCAGGACAGTCTCCAAAACAATACAGAGAAATCCTGTCTCAAAAAACCAAAAAAAAAAAAAATCTTTCTACAAATAATGTTTTTTCACTTAGGAGGCAGAGACAGGTGGATCTCTGTGACTTTAAAGCCAGCCTGGTCTACAGAGTGAATTCCAGGACAGCTAGGGCTACACAGAGAAACTCTACCCCCCCCCCAAATAGTTTTTAAAAAGAAAATGGGAAACTAGGAAGTAATTAGGGAAATATGTAGCAATTGGCATTGGTGGATAACAATGCATTGTGGTTGTGCTTTCTATTTTAGTTTTATTTTTCAAAACTTATATATATATGTGCATGTCTATGTGTGGGTTTGTGCATGTGAGTGCAGTGCCAGCAGAGGGCGTTGGATCCCCGGCAGCTGGAATGACAGGTGGTCGTAAGGTGGCTGACCTGACGTGGGTGCTGGGAGCATTGCTATGTGCTCTCAACCACTGAGCCATTTCTCTGTCCCATGTGTGCCCCCCCCCCGTCCTATTTCTTAAAAGAAGCCTTATTGTTCAGAAACGCATTCCTAAAAATATATAGGGATGAGTCACTTCTCTACCTTATGTAACTTTCTGGGATTTTCTTCAAAATACCCAGACTTCAGGGATAGATAAAGATGATACATGATTCGCCACTAAATTCCTGCTTTTTGAAGCTGGATGGACACCTGGAGCTCGCTACATTGTTTCCTAGTAGAAATTAAATAAATTGAACTGGGAGTGGGCGGCTCACACCTTCAATTCCGGTGCTCGCTCGGAGGCAGAGACAGGGGGATCTCTGTGCGTTCAAAGCCAGTCCAGTCTACAGAGTGAGTTCCAGGACAGCCAGGACTACATAACAGAGAGACTGTGTCCCAAAAAGAATATTTCAAAGAAAGAAGGAAGGAAAGAAAACTTAAACTAGTTAGGGCTATAGGAGACGGCTCAGAGAGCAAGTGAGTTTGCTGCCAGTCACAACAAGCTCCTCCTCCAGCCTTAACCAGGGCCATTTTCCGGGTGATGCTGGCATCCCTATGCAGGTCCCCAGCATGCCAAGATGCCAGGTGAGCCTCCCTGGAGACAGTCCGGGTGCTGACGCCACACACAGCCCGCTGTCTAGAGCTGCTCCCCCTTTTGTTTCCCAGGTCTTGGTGCCCTGCCGGGGAAGCCTGCCCAGCAGTGTCCAGTCATCTTGCCAGTTCGAGTCCTACGTTTTGGTGCCCACTGAAGGACACTTTCAGACCTTAGATGGAAAGGTACTCGTTTCTCGGGTGGCTTAGAGTTGCTGGGGGGTTGGGGGAGCAGGCAGAGGCAAGGTAACACTGTTTCTCAGCCTTTTAGATTGTTAGCATCCGACATTGGGTTTTGTATGTACAATAGCAGCTTTTGGAATGGGTCAGGGGGCCCCTGACTTTGTTAGGGAGGCTTGGAGACAGGAGGCCGTGGTAATAGTGACTAGGACCTAGACTCTGCCGTGGGGGGTGGCATGGGGACCAGAATTCTTCCCTCCATCCCTCTCTCAGCCAAGAGGAGTCGTCTACCTGTATGTTGGGGGTCCCGGGTACACCCCTTCTCAGGTCTGTATCTCACTGAGTTATTTCTTTCGTCGTGGGTTTTTTTTTTGTTTGTTTGTTTTTGTTTTTGTTTTTGTTTTTTGAGACACGTTCTCACTTTGTAGCCCTGGCTGTCCTGGAACTCACTCTGTAGACCAGGCTGGCCTCGAGCTCACGGACATCAGCCTGTCTCTGCTTCCCAAGTGCGGGACTGAAGGTGTATGCCACCATGCTTTACCCATATTTATTTTTGATTCAGGGTTTTTGCTGTATGTCCTGGGCTGGCTTGGAACTCATGATCCTCCTGCCTCAGCCTGAGTGTTAAGATTACAGGCATGAGCCACCGTGCACAGTTGTGTGTGTTGTTTTTTGTTTGTTTGCTTGCTTGCTTTGTAATGGAAGCAGGTAGCATCTAAAAGGTGGGTTATTGAGCCGGGCGTTGGTGGCGCACGCCTTTAATCCCAGCACTCGGGAGGCAGAGGCAGGCGGATCTCTGTGAGTTCGAGACCAGCCTGGACTACCGAGCGAGTTCCAGGACAGCCTCCAAAGCCACAGAGAAACCCTGTCTCGAAAAAAACAAAAAACAAAAAACAAAAAACAAAAAACAAAAAAAATAAAAGGTGGGTTATTTTATTTGTACTTGGCTGGCTCCATTCTCCCAACTCATGCATGTCTGGGGGGAGGGATGGGGGGGCCCAAGCCGCCATAACTACTGGAGTTGGTCTGCACTTTGGGCCCAGGGCCTGAGCATCTGGGGCTCGTGGGTACCGTGGCAGGTCTGGGAGGGTGCAGTTATCGGTTAGCCTGCTCAGGCGGTGTCGGCATCCCTGTGGCTCATGATGCCTGACACATGACTGTCACATATTCTCTTACCACATCTGTGCCTCCCTCTCTCGTACGTGTCCAAGTGACCCACACGGGGGCGGAGTCATAGACTCTGCCTGTGAGTACCTTTCGGGAAGAGGCTGCGAGGGGTCTCTGTGGCCGCCACCCCCTAGCTGGTCCAGTGATGTTCTTCTTGATTCCAGGGTGTCCTCATTGAGGGAAACAGGATTAAGCTAGGAGCTGGTTTTGCTTGTCTTCTCTCTGTGCCCATCCTCTTTGAAGAGACCTTTTACAACGAAAAAAGAAGAGAGTTTCAGCATCCTCTGCATCGCCCATCCGTTGGAAAAGAGAGAGACTTCAGGTGCCGGGGGAAGGACCGCCCTTTTCTCCCAAGAAAGAGCCTGTGCACAGAGACATCTCCCCCCCCCCACAGCTGTTAAAAGCTTGCATGTCACACACGAAACATATCAAAGAGCCTGCTAGAGACGGGCTAGAGAAGTTCCCCTCTGGAACTTGCCCTAAGGCTTCCCTTGGCTGAGGCGATGTGGGTTGAGGCTGCTGTGTCGGCTGTGAATAGGATTCCAGGGGGTACACAGTAGAGGTCCCCCCTACTGTGATAATTGGTGACGAGGGTTGTCCCTGGAGCTGTGCAGAGCTGGGGCCCTGGCTTTGCATCTGGGCCTCAGCCTCAGGGTTTAACTTTGTGGCATTAGCTGGCTGCACCGTTGTCTCGCTGAGGGCTCCCTGGATTTCAGTGGATTGTTTAGTTGCCCCGGGAAACGGCACAGTCCCTGTGCCAAATGCGCCGTGAGCTCTCGAATTGCCAGGAGTCAGCTTCTCCTCGGCCCCATGGGTCCTACATAAGGGTCACAGATTCATGTGATTTTTTTTTTGTTCCCTGAGAAGACCTTGCGTGGCTTTCTGGACTCTGGGATCTCCTTCAGCTGAGCTGTTTTCTTGGGCAGTATTTTGAAATTGTGGACATTCCCTTACCTTCTTCCCTGGTCCCTGGCCATCCTTTCTTGGGGCTCTAGACCCATCAGAAACGGGAAAGGATGAACCCCCTCCTCCCCACCAGGCCCCCATCAGTCAGGAGGCGGTGGAAACTTTAGCCGGCCTGACCCTCTCTTTTTCAGAAGAACCTTCAGCATCCTCGGATCCCTTTTCCCTGAAAACCATTGAAGATGTGAGAGAATTTTTGGGAAGGCACTCGGAGAGATTCGACAGGAACATCGCCTCTTTCCACCGGGCGTTCCGAGAGTGTGAGAGAAAGAGTCTCCGCCATCACATAGTTAGTGGCTGTGTCTTGTTCTGCCTGGCTGCCGGCTCTCGCTCCAGAGCCGTCCATCATTCTGTCTGCTCTAGAATCCCGCTGGGTACCACAACCGTGGCTGGGAAGTTTTGTTAACAATGTTTCTGCTGTGCAAGTAGCATAAGGCCCTCAGGAAGTGAAACGCCTTAGAGAACAGTGTTTCATAAAGAAACTTAACTGTTAGACAGGAAGCGCACACCTTTAATCCCAGCACTCCGGGAGGCAGAGGCAGGCGGATCTCTGTGAGTTGGAGGCCAGCCTGGTCTACACGAGAGCTAGTTCCAGGACAGCCAGGGCTGTTACACAGAGAAACCCTGTCTCAAACAAAACAAAACAAAACAATAAAGGGAATGAAACTTAGTTGCCAGCTACGTTAACCCCAAGGGGGACTTTTTTCCCATGCACCTTTAAAAAAAAAAAAGGCTTCAGTGGGTAGAAAATGCTCACCGTCTTTAAGACGGTCGCTGAATTCAGATCCCCAGAGCCCACATGGAACCTGGACACAGTGGAATGTGTCTGTAATCTCAGTATACTTACGAGAGCAGGTTGAGAGGCCGAGGCTAGAGAATATTCCAGACGTGTGTAAGCCAGCTAGCCTCAAGCACTCAGCGCAGTGGCAAACAGCAAGAGGCTCGATGAGGGTGGACACCAGAGTCTGCCCCCTGACCTCTGCCCCCTGACCTCTATCCCCTGACCTCTGCATTCACGGGCCCCGTAGTATGCACAGGCAGATAAGCAGACATGCAAATACATTAAACAGTGGAGAACAGACAAGATGACTCAGCGGTTAAAGGCGCTTGTCACCAAGCCTGACAGCGTGTGTTGGATACCCTGGACCCACGTGGCGGAAGGAGGTAGCGGACTCTCTGAAAGTCGTCCTCCAAACCCCGCCACGCCATGTCATACGTGCCCCACACACACACACACACACACTACAGACACGTCCTAAGTCTATTGAATTTAAAGAGCTGAACATCCACCTAAAAAGATGATTTGGTAAAGCGCGCCTGTGGCCTAGAACCCGCCACCCCTGGATGTGTCGCCCCGCTCAGGCTTTTGCGGCTAAGAGGGGTCTCCCCTCTCTGTTCTGTGTTGCGCAGGACTCCGTGAATGCTCTGTACACCAAATGCCTCCAGCAGCTTCTGAGGGACTCTCACCTGGTAAGCAAATAGCTCTACACAGACCGGCAGCGGTTTGCCCGCAGCGTGCAGGCCCAGGCTCTCTCAGCCAGCATTTCTCTCTTGAATTCCAGAAGGTTCTTGCCAAGCAGGAGGCCCAGATGAACCTTATGAAGCAGGCAGTGGAGGTAAGGAGGCTGCAGAGGGCGGTGGCCGGGGGACTCACTGTCACCTGGCAGACGGCACACGCCCCAAGCCTGGTTCTCTGTCGGTTCCACAGATATACGTCCATCATGGCATTTACGACCCGATCTTTAAGTACGTGGGGACCGTGGAGGCGAGCGAGGTAAGTTAGCGGTCTTTGTTCTCCAGGGCAAGAGCCCTAGCCTGAGAAATTTGAAGCGTTGGGGCTGGAGAGATGGCCCGATGGCTAAGACCATTGGCTGCTCTTCCGGGGAACCAGGGTTCAGTTCCCAGCACGTACACAACAGCTCAAAACTGTCTGTAATTCCAGTTCCAGGGGATCCGACACCCTCACACAGACAAAATACCGACCAGTACATATAAACTAAAAAAAATAACTTTCAAAGCGTACACACTGCTTTTGCAGAGGGTGGGAGTTTGGTTCCTAGCCCCCCCCATGAAGGGTGGCCTACAACCTCCTGTAACTCCAGGTATGGGAGATATAGCATCCTCTGGCCTCTGTAGGTGCCCGCAGTCATATGCATAGACACAGGACACATACATACAATTAAAAATAAATCTTAGCCGGGCGTTGGTGGCGCACGCTTTTAATCCCAGCACTCAGGAGGCAGAAGGAGGCAGATTTCTGTGAGCCTGAGGCCAGCCTGGTCTACATGTCATGTTCTAGGACAACCAGAACAGAGAGACCCTGTCTGAAAACAAACAAAAGTTTGGTTTTTGTTTTTTCGAGACAGGGTTTCTCTGTGTAGCCTTGGCTGTCCTAGAATTAGCTCTGTAGACCAAGCTGGCCTCAAACTCACCTGCCTGCCTCTGTCTCCCTAGTGCTAGGATTAAAGTCATTCACCAACACTGCCTGTCTACAAAAATGTTAATCGAAGCTTTATCCATCTTTGTTGCTAGGATGCTGCCTTTAACAAAATCACAAGAAGCCTTCAAGATCTTCAGCAGAAAGATATTGGTGTGAAGCCCGAGTTCAGGTAAGCATTCCCACGGCTTCTGAAGTTCAATGTGCTGGGCTGCCCTCACCTGCCAGTCTGAAAAGAACCCCCAGCCTTGGGTGTTCCCACTATCCAGTTAAGTTTCATTAAGTTAAAAATGTCTGAAGGCCAGGCAGTGGCAGTGCACACCTTTAATCCCAGCACTCGGAAGGCAGAGGCAGGCGGATCTCTGTGAGTTCGAGACCAGCTTGGTCTACAAGAGCGAGTTCCAGGGCAGCCAGGGCTGATACGCAGAGAAACCCTGTCTTGAAAAAAAACTAAATAAATAAATAAATGTCTGAAATACTGATGTGTAAGCCTCTTCTCACTCCTGCCATAGTTCCATGTTTGACTTTTATTAAATTTTGGAAGTTGCAATTTTTGTCTCCATTAAAAATTTTTTCCTTCACTTTTAATTTTTATTTTCCTGTGTTTTGAGTGTTTGGCCGGCATGTGCGCAGTGCCCTTGGAGGCCAGCAGGGGGCATCGGAGTTGCTGGGACTGGAGTTACAGCCAGCAGTGAGCTGCCGTGTAGGTGCTGGAAATCAAATCTGAGTCCTCTCTGAAAGATCTGCCAGTGCTCTTAGCCTCTGAGCCAACCCTCCAGCCCCACACTGTTCTAAAGTTCTGTTGTCTGAATTACGCGCGTGTATGTCTTTCTGTGTAGGTGTGTGCTCATGAGTGCAGGTGCCCTAAGGGGCCAGAGGAATTGGATCTGCCTGGAGCCTGGGAGTCACAGGGTTGTTAGCCCACCGTGGGGCTGGGGATCAGACTCAACCGCAAGAGCATTAAATGCTCTTAACCGCCGGCCATCTCCAGCATGTACTTTCTGAGATAAGCAGCTCCCTGTATAACCCAGGAGCCCTTGGATCCACTTTGTAGCCCAGGCTGGCATCCTCCTGCTTCTGGATTTTTTTTTTTTACTTTTCCAAATTTCTAGTGAAGCTCTGTCATCCACCTGCCAGGGCCAAAGGGCTTCTCGGTCTGTTTCTGTCGGTCGTTCCCCGTGGTTTGTAAGAAACGTCTACGCAGGCGTGTGGCCAGGGCAGGAACAGCAGGGTCTTCTGCTGTAGCCTGAAGTTTCTGTTTTCCAAATCACAGCTTCAACATCCCCCGAGCAAAGAGAGAGCTGGGGCAGCTGAACAAGTGTACGTCGCCACAGCAGAAGCTGCTGTGCCTGCGGAAGGTGGTCCAGCTCATGACACAGTCTCCCAGCCGGAGAGGTGGGTGCTGGGGAGGGGCCGGGCGGGTGGAGGCAGCAGATGCTCATAGGCAGATGCAAAGGTCCACGCAGGAGGAACACTGCCAAGGGACCAGAGTTGCATGGAGTCGGGTGGGGTTGCCCTGGGGACGGGTCAGGGCAGGATTAGCCTTAGCAAATCCAGGGACAGAAAACAGTAGCTGCCTCAGTTCCGCTAGGCTCGGAGGGTGTTTGGAGGTTCAGCTGTCAGGCTGCCTCACCTCATTCTCTATTTAAAAAAAAAGAAGGGGCCGAGCGGTGGTGGCGCACGCCTTTAATCCCAGCACTTGGGAGGCAGAGGCAGGTGGATCTCTGTGAGTTCGAGGCGGGGCTGGCCCGACAGCCTCCAGAACAATACAGAGAAACCCTGTCTCGTAAAAAACAAACAAACAAAAGAAGAAGGAGGAGGAGGAGGAGGAGGAGGAGGAGGAGGAGGAGGAAAGGAAGAATAGCAAATCCCAGGGCGAAAAAATAAAATGGGGGTTGCGAGTTGTTACTCAGTGGTTAAGCTCTGGCTGGTTGAGCCCCCTCCGCCCAAGCTCCAGCACAGCACTGCTAAAGGGAAAAGTTAAGGCAGAGGAACAAGTTCCAGAGAGTCGCAAGTGGACATAAGCAAGCCAAGTGTATGGTGTGATTCCAGCAGCCGCAAGGAAGAGGGTGGGGGTGAGCGCAGACCCCCCCCGATGTGGAGACAGGTTCGCAGAAAGGGCGCCGAGTGGCAGAGGTGGCCGGGACATTCGTGGCCTGTTGTTTCTGTGCCCTTTGCCTTTGATGTATTTATTTAGTTAGGTTTTGTTGTTGATGTTTTGGGGGGGGGCACACTATGTAGCCCAGGCTATCTCAGCTCACCCGTTGCTGGGATTATGTGTGGGCCATCTCACACAGCTTTTTCCTTTTAGTTAATTAATTTTTGGGGGGGAGTTTCGAGACAGGGTTTCTCTGTGGCTTTGGAGGCTGTCCTGGAACTCACTTTGTAGACCAGGCTGGCCCCGAACTCACAGAGATCCGCCTGCCTCTGCCTCCCGAGTGCTGGGATTAAAGGCGTGGGCCACCTCACCCCACATCCCAGCTTTCTTTTTATTTATTTTTTTTTAAGACAGGCTCTCACTGTATAGTCCTGGCTGGCCTGGAACTCACTGTTGAGCTCAGGTCCTGGCTGGCCTGGAACTGGGGATCCTCCTGCCTTGGACTCCCCGAAACAGGGATGACAGGCCTCTGCCTGCCGCACATTCTCTTCTTCCCTTCAGTCTGACGTCTGTTCAGGACACTGTCAAGGAAGCTTCCGGGTTTTCTGCCTGGCGTGCGATCTTGCTGGAGTGTGGCTTTGCGCCTCGGTTGGCGGAGGAGAGTTTGTGCGTTGCCGATCCTTCTGGTTGTGTCTCATGGTGGCCTCGGACATTCTCTCCCCTTGCAGTGAATTTGGAGACCATGTGTGCGGACGATCTTCTCTCTGTCCTGCTGTATCTGCTGGTGAAAACAGAGATCCCTAACTGGTAACTGTTTCATCGTTGCTAAACTGCTGTTTCCTTAAGTTCCTTTGAGGGGTGGGCGGGGGTTGGGGGGTGGGGGAGAGGGATGGGAGGATGTCTCTCTCTTAGTCCAGGCTGGCCTCCGACTCTCCATCTTCCTGCCTTGTCCTCTGAGTTCTGGGATTTGGGAGTCGTTCACGCTCCCTAGCATAAAATACTTTAAAATCTAGCTGCTCTGTGTGTTCTCTATTTTGGGGGTGACTCCAAGCCAGGGTGCCTTTAATGGGATAGTGCTGCCACTCCCCTCCATCCCTCAGGGGTGGCTCCCCTTCGTTGGATAGATGGGGGAAACTGAGGCCTGGAGAGCTTCTGTTTCACCTTGTGACATACGTGGCCATTCCCTTCCTGAGAAGGAAGCAAATACACGATCTCTTTCTTCCACAGGAATACATACATACATATATATATATATATATATATATATATATATATATATATGTCATAATTCACTTTACAATCATTAGGTTTCTAGCTAGGTATGATGGCGCACCCCTTTAATCCCAGCGTTCAGGAGGCAGAGGCAGGTGTTCTCTGAGAGTTTGAGGCCAGCGTGATCTACATAGCAAATCCAGGACAGCCAGTGCTACATAGTGAAAACTTCTCTGCAAAACTCCCCAACCCAGCCAGCTAGCTGTCTTAGTCACCGTCCTGTTGCTGTGAAGAGACGTTACGGCCAAGGCGACTTGTACAAGGGAGCGTTTAACTGGGGCCTGACTTACAGTTTCAGAGGGCCAGTTAACGATCATCATGGTGGGAGGCATCGTATCAGGCAGGCAGGCATGCAAGGTGCTGGAGCAGTAGCTGAGAACACACATGATCTACGAGCTTCAGGCAGGGAGAAAGAGGGAGAGGGGGAAAGGAGGGAGAGGAGAGAGAGAGAGAGAGAGCGAGCGTGTAGGAGCCAGAGCCCTTGGCCTACTTGAGCTTTTGAAACCTCAAAGCCCATCCCTAGTGACACACCTACAAAGAGACTCACCTAACCAAAGGCCACGCCTCCTAATCCTTCCCAAACAGTTCCATTAAGTGGAGACCAGGCATTCAGATGTGTGAGCCCTGTGGGAGCCGTCCACATCCAAACCACAGCTTCAGCTTTCTAATAGCCAGCCTTCCAGATAGTTGTTTTGTTGTTGTTGTTCTAATTGTATACATATCTACAGTGGGATTGAGGGGCTAGCAGACATTATACCCCCCCCCACCCTACCACAGTGAATAGACTTGATGGAGATCATTAATCATCCATCCAAGCCAATGTTTTTTTAAAGTGTCAATTACGAAAGGATAACCCGCTTTTTCTCCTTTTGGTCAGGATGGCAAATCTGAGTTACATCAAAAACTTCAGATTTAGCAGCTCGGCCAAAGATGAGCTGGGATACTGCCTGACCTCGGTTGAGGCTGCGATCGAGTACATCCGGCAAGGGAGTCTCTCTACGAAGCCGCCCGTAAGGTCTCCCCACCAACCCCGCCCTCCCTCTGTGGCCATAGGGGAAGCCCTGACAGCATTACAGAGAGCTGGGTGGGGCTGAGGGGACCGATGGGAGTTCCTTCATGGCCCTCCCAAGACGTAGAGCCTCAGCAGCCTAACAGTTACAAGGCTCGAGAACGACTCAAAAAACTGGTCTTTAAGCCCCTGATCGATGGTGAAGGCTGCTGGTGCTAACAGTGGGATTTATAACTGCCGGGACCCTGCCTCATTAACCCTATCATCCGAAGAAGCCGCGCGGATGAAAGGAAACCAGATGCGGCATTGAGTCTGGGTTCCGTGGGGGTGATAGGCGAGAAATGACCATCGTTGCGTGCCTTGTGAGGACTCGGTGGCCTTATGATTGCTGCTGCCTTGGTTGGTTGGTGAGCTTTGGTGAGAGAGAGTGGTGTTGTTCCTGTGTACCTTAGGAGAGTCTTAAGCCAAGAGGTCACCACTGGCCAGCTTTATACCACACGGTGACACATGAATGGTAAAACTTGGTAGTACACTGGTCAGTAAGGTAAAGAAGGAGCAGGCATGGTGGTGCGTGGCTGTGAAATTCCAGTACTTGGGAAGCTGAGGCAGGGGGATTGCTGTGAGTTTGAGGCTGGCCTGGTCACATGGTGAGTTCCATGTCAGCACAGACCGTACTGTGGAGACACTGTGCCAGAAGACATAGGCAAAAGAAAAATACTTATAAAGAAAATAAGCGAGTCAGGCGCTGGTGGCGCACGCCTTTAATCCCAGCACTCGGGAGGCAGAGGCAGGCGGATCTCTGTGAGTTCGAGGCCAGTCTGGTCTACAAGACCTAGTTCAAGGACAGCCTCCAAAGCCACAGAGAAACCCTGTCTCGAAAAACCAAAAGAAAAAAAAAAAAGAAAATAAGCAAAGAGGACAGTGAGTTTGAATTTAGCCCGGGCTCCATAGCTCCATAGATTAAGACCCTGTATACACACACACACACACACACACACACACACACACACTCACACACACACACACACTCACACACACACACAATGCACACAGTTCCCTGGGTTTTGAGCAAGTCAGGCCTGACAGACACGTTGCATCTTTACCTTGCTTGGGCTGTTGGCTCAGTTGGTACTGTGGTGTCCTTGTCCTCTGTGGTACCGCATGGGGCTCTGTCTGTAAGGACAAGCTCAGCTTTTCCTGAAGCCTGGCTCTTAGGACATAGAGTTCGAGTAGGAATGTATGTGTGAAGCCAACAGTAACGCGGTGACCCCGTTTCCCGGGGGAGAGAGCTTGTGTGTGTCTGTCTCCATACGGCCGGTGAGGCTTCTGCATATCCGTCAGCCGAATCGGTTTCACTCTCTGCTCTACATCACGTGGCTTCACAGACATTTCCTATCCAGAGTGTCATGAAACTTCAGCTGGCCACAGACATCCCTAGGGTGTTCATAAATGGAGACTTCAGCCTTCCAAAAACAAATACTACAGTGGTGGCATCAGGATCAAGGCGGAGAACCTCCCTCACTTTGCTTTTAAAATTTGTGTTTGCGTGCCGGGTGGCGCGTACCTTTAATCCCGGCACCGGGGAGGCAGAGGCAGGTGGATCTCTGTGAGTCCGAGACCAGCCTGGTCTACAAAGTGAGTTCCAGGACAGCCTCCAAAGCAATACAGAGAAACCCTGTCTCGAAAAACCAAAAAAACAAAACAAAAAATTTTATTTACGTGTGTATGTGTATACTGAGTGTGTGCAGTCCTGAAGAGGGCCCTGGATCCCCTGGAACTGGAGTTACAGGCCATTGGGAGCCACGTGATGTTCGTCCTCCTTGGAGGGGGGCACGCTTGAGGGGTGGTGCTTGAGGGGACCCTGAGGTACTGTTGGCTTCACCCATCGCCTAGTCAGAACTTAGACACATGTAAGGAGAGAACTTTATTCTACCATGTTGTCAGGAGCCTGTGAGTTTCCAACATCACCTGTCCGGGGGTGGGGTAGGTGGGTAAAAATGTCCTTCACCTCCCACCAAGACTCTTTGCGAAGGAGTTAGTTTGTCATTGTACGATTTGGTTCCAGGGGCCCAAGTGAGTGTGGAAGCATTGTGGTAGGAGTAATTTTTAAAATAGGCACAAGACTAGGGGCGTGGCTCGGTGGCAGAGCACCTGCGTAGAATCCCCCACTGAGGGGCTGGGGTGTGGCTCAGTGGTAGAGACCCTGCCTAGAATCCCTCAGTGAGGGGCTGGGGGTGTGGCTCAGTGGTAGAGCCCCTGCCTAGAATCCCCCAGTGAGGGGCTGGGGGTGTGGGTCAGTGGTAGAGCCCCTGCCTAGAATCCCCTAGTGAGGGGTTGGGCATGTGGCTCAGTGGTAGAGCCTAGAATCCCCCAGTGAGGCTTATGGGTGAGACTCAGTGTTGGTCACTTTGCTTCAAATTCTGCACTGAGAGGTTGGGGTCATTTCTCTGTGACAGGCCTTTAACTAGCACAAGGCCCCTGGCACTGCAAACCAAAGCAAACCCACAGTGAAACAGAACATAGTATTGAAAGTCTCGCCTCAAACACTACCTGCGCGAACACAGTTCCAGCCATCATAACAGTGAGGGAGTAACAGTAACCATTAACTATAACAAGTGATAAAATATACATTTCTAGATTTAGTTTAGATTTATTATTATTGTTGTTGTTGTTATTTGGTTTTTCAAGATAGGGTTTCTCTGTGAAGACCTGGCTGTCCTGGAACTCGCTCTTGTAGACCAGGCTGGCCTCAGACTCACAGAGATCCGCCTGCCTCTGCCTCCCGAGTGCTGGGATTAAAGGTGCACGCCACCAATGCCTGGCTACAGTGTGTGTGTGTGTGTGTGTGTGTGTGTGTGTGTGTGTGTGTGTGTGTGTGTGTAAGTGCCTGTGGAGGCCAGAAGAGGGCACTGGAGTTACAGGCAGTTGTGAGCCACCTGATACGGGCACTGGGAACTGAACTCCGACCCTTCGGAAGAGCAGCAAGCATTCTTAAGCACTGAGCCGTCTTCTGAGCCCCAAATTTCTAGATATCTGTTGTCCGGGCAAGAATTGCCTTTGATAGGGAGATGTGAATATGTTGGCTTTAGTGGATCCTTGAAATGCAATAAGTGATTAGAGGTGAGGGACTGACATTTGTGTTTTTGGGGTTTGGATTTTTGTTTGGTTGTTTGTTTGGTTCTTCAAGACAAGGTTTCTCTGACTTTGGAGGCTGTCCTGGAACTCACTCTGGAGACCAAGCTGGCCTCAAACTCACAGAGATCCGCCTGCCTCTGCCTCCCGGGTACTGGGATTAAAGGCGTACGCCGCTGCTGCCACCACCACCCAGGCTAGGCTGACATTTTTGTGAGCGCAGTCACAAGATTCCCCCTCCTGCTTGGCAGCAGGGAGTGGAAGCTAGTGTGTCAAGTGGCAACTGTCCCCAGCCCTGGTTAAAGTGTCAGCGTCAGGCTATTCTGGGCTCTAGTAGGGAAGTCTGGGAGGGGTGTGGCCAGGGCAAGCCAGGCCCCAGCGATGGCGTGTACGTAGCAGAGCCCAGTCCTGTGGCTGACTTCTGCACCCTGCAGTCTTAGCTGCCCCAGGCCAGCATCTTCAGAGCTTATTCCCCAGGGTTCCCCACTCCGTGCCGAGACGGGTCTGCGCACTTCATCTCCGGGAGCAGGTCTGGGTGGGGAAGAGCCTCTGAAGACCACCCCTGGATGGAGTGGCAGGGCTTGTGCTTGGGCCCTCGATGGGGGAGGGTCTGTGACGGGGTCTCTGGTGTGTGATGGCCACAGGACGCCGAGGGATTTGGTGACAGACTGTTTCTCAAGCAGAGGATGAACCTACTGTCCCAGATGACGCCAACACCCATTGATTGCCTGTTTAAGGTAAGACACGACGGGGATGTCCTTGAAGGCCAAGATGCGGGAGCATTGATTGTCCTGTCTTTCAGGGTCTGTAGAAGTCCCAGGGAGGTCCGTTTGTGTACCGTCTGGGAGGATGGTAGGAGGGCTTCCTGTCTTCCCCAACACACACTGTTCGGTTACCACCGCAAGACACTCTGGGGCTGCCTGGCCTCAGAACCTTGGTCCTGCTCAGTGGGACCTCTCCTTGGTACCTGACGGAGCTGATACCTCTCCGAGACCCGAGGTGCCAGTGTTTTTGTGTTGGTCCTCAGCTGATCGTGCAGCATCTAATGCCCCCCCCCTCCGGGGGGCTTGCAGGATGCTCCCTGTTGAGATGTTCACTGACTCCTGGGAAGCTCATGAGGCAGTGTGTAGCCGTCACCATGGGCCACATGAGAGCAGACCTTCTCTGAGAGTCTGCTGATGTTTTTAGGCTTTTGGAGGGGCCGCATCTGTGAGTCACTAAGGCCATGCCCTGTAGGTTTGTATGCTGGTGGGTCCTCCTGCTAATTGCGGCTGATTTCTTCCCCTTAAGTCTAGGCTACACTTGATTGCCATAGGGATAGCAATGAGGCTCTGCCTGCCTGTCTGTCTGTCTGTCCGTCCCCGTCTCTCCTACTTCCTTCATTGATGCTGGAAGTTGAGCCTTAAGACCAAGCCCTGTGCATCTGAGCTACAGCCCAGCCCCTTACCGGTGGATTCTAGATGGGTATTCCATAGCCAGCCACACCCTTGGTCCCTGGTGCTTTGAGAGTTGTCTACCTATGCGGCCCCTGCTGAACATAAACTTAGAAGTCTCCTGCCTGTGCCTCCTGAGTGCCAGGGTTAAAGGCACGTGTCACCTGCCACAGCCGATGAGGTCAGATTCCACACTGGGCCTCTTCTTAGTGCTTTGGAAATTTTGTTAGGTCGTTTAAAAAAGAATGTGACTCTGCATTTGTAGATACAGTAATTGAATGTGAAAGCTGTCCCAAAGCTGCCCCCCAGACTGGTTTCGTTTCAGTCGCTAAGCCAGTGTCTGCGTCTGCCCAGACAAGCTTGAAGCCAGTCCCAGAGAACAAGCCATCCCAGTGTAAGCTCAGATAAGCCTTTAATCCTGGCACTGGGGAGCCGGAGGCAGGCAGATCTCTGTAGGTTTGAGGCCAGCCTGGTCTACAGAGCGAGTTCCAGGATAGCCAGGGCTACACATAGAAACCCCGTCTTGAAAACCATCCCAAACAAACACAGGAGTTCAAAATTAGCCTGGGCTGCAGGATGAGAAGCAAAATAAGCCAGGCTTGGTTGTCCAGGCTCCTCATCCCAGCTATTCAGGAGGCTTGCAGACTCTAGGCCGGCATGGTAGAGAGTGAGTTCAAGGCCAGCCTAAGCAACTTAGTGAGACTCTGTCTAAGCAGAAGTAGGGCCAGGCTGCGGCTCCGTGATGGAGTTGCTTGCCTAGTGTGTGTGTGTGACGTCCTGGGTCCCAGTTACGAAACCAGACCTAGGGAACCGGTTCCCCAGAAAGCAGGTGACTCCTGGACATTGATAACATTTGGGGATGCCACCTTTTATTAGCACATCGCATCTGGAAACCAAAAAGAGGTGGAAAGACTTCTGAGCCAAGATGACCAGGACAAAGACGCCATGCAAAAGATGTGCCACCCACTGTGCTCCTGCGAGGATTGCGAGAAGCTCGTCTCTGGGTGAGGGGGGCCTCGCAGGCAGAGAGCCAGGGTTGAGGGTCCGAGGGCTGAAGAGCCTCTTCCCGTTGTCCCTCGGCTGCCCGGCCGTGTCATGAGCGCGTGCGCGGTGACGCCTGCCTCTAACACACCCAGGCCTCACAAGGGGTTTTAGGAGGGAGAGGGGGTGAATGCCAGCGGTTTCTTCCAGTACCATTTTTGGTTTCCCATTATGCTCAGTGGGAGATTGTGCCGTGTTGAGGTCTTAAGGGGCCAAGCGGGGATGGACCCTGGAGCTACAGGCCTCAGAGTCTCACTCCTGGGGAGAGGGGGGCTCAGCCTGGTCCTCTATCGGCATGGAAGGGTCTCTTCCTGAATGGTGTCCAGTTTGACACACCTTCTTTCTGTTTCAGGAGGTTGAACGACCCATCAGTTGTCACTCCTTTCTCCAGAGATGACCGGGGTCAGACCCCGCTCCATGTGGCTGCCCTCTGTGGTATGTGGCCTTGGGCTGGCTTCTGTGAATTACTGAGGCACCCCAGAAGCCCGTGGGGCCCCAGCTGATGGGGTACTGGCAGGGGCTGTGTTGTGGGTGCATCCCACGGGGCAGGGAAGACTGACAAGTATCCCCCCCGGGACTTGACAGTCAGCGTGTCACCTGGCAGGCTTCCAGGAGCTCCCCCTCCCCCCGTGGCCCCTCCAGGCTTGGAGACTCTACTGGCCAGTGAGGACAGGCTGGAATGCTTGCTAGGATGACCTCAGAATTGTGGTCTGGGGCTCACATGCCTTTCTTTAAAGACAACATTGAGCCAGTTGTGATGGTGCAGACCTGTAATCTCAGCCACGGAGTAAGCTGAGGCAGGAGGATTATGAGTTCAAGGCCAGTCTGGGCTACGTATCGAGACTCCATCTCAAAACTAGGCGACCGGGGTACAAATGTCGTCAGCCACCATGTGGGTGCTGGGAATCGAACCAGGGTCCTCTGGAAGAGCAGCCGGTACTCTTAACCACAGGGCCATCTCTCCAGCCCCTGGCCTGTTGCCGTTTGAGTTTTGGTGCCTGACTTATGTCAGTAGCGCTGGTCCCTGTACAGCGGGGAACACGTCTCCCGGTAGGGCCGTCGAGGGTGGGGTAGTGTTGTCCTCGGAAGCCGCTCTGCTTCCTCCATCGGTGAGAGGTCCCTCTGCTCTGCAGGTCAGGCATCCCTCATTGACTTCCTGGTCTCCAAAGGTGCCGTAGTGAACTCCACGGACTATCATGGGTCCACTCCCCTCCATCTGGCGTGTCGGAGGGGCTTCCAGAGTGTGACGGTGAGCAGTGGGGTGTGTTTGGCATTGCTCAGCTGACTCTGCCCGGCGTAGCGACTTCGTGGCCGTACCATGCACTCCTCCTGCGCCGGCTCTGCTGCTGCCAGGCACAAGGAACCCGAGGCCCAAGGCGCCTCCCTGGAGACGGGGAAAACCTCCCGATCATCGTCTCAGGGAGGGAAGGGCGGGGTTCTAGACGTTTTTTTTTTTTTAAACACTGTCGTGACAGGAAGCAGCGGCACATCCTGGCTTATGTGTGTATTTTTTTTTTTTTTTGTTTTGTTTTTCGAGACAGGGTTTCTCTGTGGCTTTGGAGGCTATCCTGGAACTCGCTCTGTAGACCAGGCTGGCCTCGAACTCACAGAGATCCGCCTGCCTCTGCCTCCCGAGTGCTGGGATTAAAGGCGTGCGCCACCAATGCCCAGCTCATTATGTGTGTATTATGTATGTGTGCATGCTTGAGAACCACAGTGCATGCGTGGAGGTCAAAGGACAACTTGTTAGAATCCGCTCTCTCCCTCCACCATGTGGGTCCCAGGGATTGAACTCAGGTTTGTCAGACTTGGTGGCAAGTGCCTTTATCAACTTAGCCATCTTGGTAGTCTGCAATGGCTTGTTCTGTTTTTTGTTTTTCTGAGACAGGGTTTCTCCGAAACAGTCCTGGCACTCACTCTGTAGACCAGGCTGTCCTCAAACTCACAGAGATCTGCCTGCCTCTGCCTCCCGAGGGCTGGGATTAAAGGCGTGCGCCACCACCCGCCAGGCTCAATAGCATAGTTTTAAATAGAGGTATAGGTTGAACACCCTGCTGGGGTGTTTTGATTTTGGAATACTGGGCACATAGCCTAGAGGTAATTTTGTATAATGTTGTGAGTCACATGCCTCTTTTGTATTATGTTGTAAGTCACATGAGACCTGGTATGGAATTTTCTGCTTGGGTTATGTCAAAAGCTCAACACTTTTTAGGTATGGGGAACCTTATTACTTTTATTGTGTATACAGTCTTCTGCCTGCATGCCAGCAGAGGGCACCAGACCTCATTCAAGGTGGTTGTGAGCCACCATGTGGTTGCTGGGAACTGAACTCAGGACCTCTGGAAGTGCAGTCAGTGCTCTCAACCGCTGAGCCATCTCTCCAGCCCCAGCGAGTGTTATCTTTGTGTTGAGGCATATGTAGCGTGGGTGGGGCCCTGGGTTTCTCCCCCGACGTTGAAAAAAAAAGAAAGAAAAGAAAGGAAATAATGATTTGGATTTAGGGCCGAGCTTGCACAGCGTGTGCGATGTTTAAGATACGGCCATGACCCCGCCCCCGGAAGGACGCTTGTGGATGCGGCGGCACTCCGTGCTCCTTCCAGGACTCAAGCTGCTGTCTTCTCTCCTCTGCCAGCTGCTGCTGCTGCACTACAAGGCCAGCACCGAGGTGCAGGACAACAGCGGAAACACCCCGCTGCACCTGGCCTGTGCCTACGGGCACGAGGACGTAAGTGGGACCCGCTGCGCCCAGCCGCCGCGTTACGTGTTTCTCCCTTGTGAAGAATTACCTATTTGGGGCCGGTCCAGCGTTGTGGTTTGTGCTGGTAACCATTGAAATGCTGGCATGTAATGTTACAATTTTATTTACTTTTTTTTTGTCGTGTGTGTATGTGTGTGTGTGTGTTCGTGCGCGCGCGCATCCGTGTGTGTGCGCGTCGCATGCATTATGGGACGGGGCGGGGGTGGGGGTCAGAAAGTGACAGCAGCGTGGGTGGCATCCTCTCCTCCTACTTGCCCTGGTTTGGGTCTCTGTTGCTGTGATGGACACCGCGACCACACACAACTTAGCAAAGGGGAGTGTTTATTTCACCTTGCAGGTCACCGGCTTATCATGAAGGTTAGTCCGGAACTCAAGGCAGACACTGATGCAGAGGCCATGGTGGGGGAGCCTGCTTAACTGGCTTGCTCCCCATGGCTTGCTCAGCCTGCTTTCTTATAGAACCCAGGACCAACCACTTTCCCGGGAGGTGGCAGGTGCACAGTAGGGCTTCCCACATCGATCACTCATTGAGAAAATGCTGCGCCAGGCGGTGGTGGCGAATGCCTTTAATCCCAGCACTCGGGAGGCAGAGGCAGGAGGATCTCTGTGAGTTCGAGGCCGGGCTGGACCGATAGCCTCCAAAATAATACAGAGAAACCCTGTCTCGAAAAATCAAAAAAAAAAAAAAAAGAGAGAGAAAATGCTGCATAGACTTGCCCACAGGCCAGCGTGATGGGGGAATTTTCACAACTGAGGTTACCTTTCCCCAGAAAACCCTAGTTTGTTGGGCTGACACACGCTTACAGGGGTTCTGGGATGGAACCCAGACTCTATAGTACGTGCACTACCTGTAGAACCATCTGCTGGCCCTGTGGTATAAAACAATTAAATGCTGAGTGCTTTATAGATGCTATATGTTAAGAAAAAATTTTTTTTGAGACAGCGTTTCTCTGTGTGGCCCTGGAACTCGCTCTGTAGGCCAGGCTGGCCTCGAACTCACAGAGGTCCACCTGCCTCTGCCTTCTGAGTGCTGGGATTAAAGGCGTGCGCCACCACCAGTGCCTGACGTTATATTAAGAAATCTAAGACTGAATTGTCCATGATCTCACCCTGAATTAAATAATTTTTACTCATACACATTACCATCTAGCTCCTAATGCTGTTTATATACAAACTTTACATTTTATCCCAGTGTGTAGGAACTCTGTGATTTCTACTTCCTCCTTTTACTTTATTATATATATCTATATCTATATCTTGGTCATATGTACTTCCCTTCCATTTCCAGAGTTATACAGAGAGACACAACTTTTTTTTTTCTGATCTTATGGTACAGCCCAGGATAGCATTGAACTCCTAGACTTCCCGAGTGGTCTGTTCAATGAGTAGTGGGGTCAAAAGTGTGGGTCCACCAACAGATGTCCGTGTAGAAAACCTGAACTGTATCTAATGTTACGTGCTTTGTACCTATTTATATAATTGCTCCTTATAGTAAGAAAAGCCATTTCAGGTTATAGCTGTTATCAGCTGCCCAGCCCCTCCTCTGCGATTAATTTTGGGTGATTCCGCAGTCCGCTATACAGTTTGATTTTCTTAAAGGTTTTTCCAGTAGGGATAATTAATTTGCAGTAGTCCAACTTTGTTTTACAAGTTTGAAAAAACTGATTTTATTATGTTTTAGGTTGTTTTGAGACAGGCCATCCTGGTCTGTCGTCCAGGCTAGCCTCAAACCCCTTCAGCTTTCCAAAGGCTGGGATTATTATTAGGGCTGCTCATGTCTTATTAATTGGCAATTGGTGATTTTTTTTTTGTTCCTCCCCCTCATGTTTTGCTTGTTATTGGGAATTTCCCCCAAGGTGCCTTTGCATGCTAGACAAGAAGACAAAGATTATATCACCAAGTCACACCCCCTGCCCCTCACTGGGGGATTCTAGGCAGGGGCTCTACCACTGAGCCACACCCCCAGCCCCTCACTAGGGGATTCTAGGCAGGGGCTCTACCACTGACCCACACTACCAGCCCCTCACTGGGGGGTTTTAGACAAATTGCTACTGAGTCAGTTGGGTCAAGTTTGAAAAAATGGGGTATCCTGATCAGGGAATGTGGGACCCTTGAATTATAACTGCTGGTTTCTGTGTTTCTGCCCTGGTGAGTGAAGCCTTGGTCAAGCCAGGACCTGGCCCATGGCCCAGGGTGGCACTGACATTGCCCTAGGCTCTCGTTCGTGTTAGAGGATGACGATTTTGCCGTGTCTTCGCAGTGTGTAAAGGCCCTGGTCTACTACGATGCCCAGGCCTGCAGACTGGATATTGGAAACGAGAAAGGAGACACAGCCCTGCACATTGCTGCACGCTGGGGTTACCAGGGTATCATGGAGACGCTGCTGCAGAACGGAGCCCCCACAGAGATACAGAACAGGCTGAAAGAGACGCCGCTCACGTGTGCATTGAACTCAAAGGTGGGTCTTTCCGTCTCTGAGCAGCCATGTGACTATTAAAAAAACCAACAACTAAAATCCGCTCACAGACTGGCGTTGCTGGGAAAATGTCCACTGGCATCCAAGGACAGAACTCGGTGTTGTGACTTGGGAAAAGTGGGCTGAGAAAGACGCTATTGGACAGGGTTCGAGAAGTTTTTTTTTTTTTTTTCGAGACAGGGTTTCTCTGTGGCTTTGGAGGCTGTCCTGGAACCAGCTCTTGTAGACCAGGCTGGCCTCGAACTCACAGAATTCCTCCTGCCTCTGCCTCCCGAGTGCTGGGATTAAAGGCGTGCGCCACCAACGCCCGGCTGAGAAGAGGGGTTTTTATTAGGGAAAGGGATCATAAAAAGTGGAGAGACCAGCCTCTGGGGACAGGAGCAGAGGAGAGAAGAGAGGGGGGCAGAGAAAAGGAGAGAGAGGGAGAGACGGAGAGAGGGAGGTGGGCAGGACCCTTTTACGAGGGAGCGCAGTGAATGTGCACAGGAGGCGCCCTTAGTGTCCGCAGCTGAGGGCGTGTCCCGTCGGAACCCCGAGGGACAGGCCAGAGCAGGCGCCTGATGCTAACTAACACTCCGTCCTTTTGCTGTGTTTGGGCCCTGGTCGCTAATGAGCTCCTGGCTGACGGCGTCCTTGGCTTTGTTAGCAGTTTCTCTCAGTGTGGCCGGCATGAGCTGCTTCCAGCCGAGTTGGCTCCAGCCTCCGAGCCCTGGGCCTGTACCAGCCAACGGCCTGTGTGGGACTGGGGGCGGCGGCTATGGTTGTGAAGGGCGGACGGCAAGCGGAGGACAAGACACTGGAGACAGGCCCCGTTCTCTCTGTCTTCATCTCTGCTTCTGAAACCTCATGCGACGTTGACCCACATTTGAATGACTGGGTTGATAAGTTAGAGACTGAGTCTCGGTACTTAGCCCGGGCTAGTCTTGAACTCTCAGTCTCCCGAGTGCTGGGATTGCCGTGCCTCTAGCGTTGGTCTCTTGGGGGAAGAGGAGGATGTCGTCCTACGGTACGGAGGGTTTAGCAGGACATACAGGCATGGTTTGTTTCTTTCTAAAAAAAAGGATTTGTTTGTTTATGTTTTTTGGGGTACAGAGTTTCCTCTGTGTGACAACCCTGGCTGTCCAGGAACTCGCTCTGTAGACCAGGCTGGCCTCACACTCACAGAGATCCGTCTGCCTCTGCCTCCCGAGTGCTGGGATTAAAGACGCGTGCCCAGCTTTTATTTTTATTTTTTTGTTTGTTTGTTTGTTTTTCGAGACAGGGTTTCTCTGTGGTTTTGGAGGCTGTCCTGGAACTAGCTCTTGTAGACCAGGCTGGCCTCGAACTCACAGAGATCCACCTGCCTCTGCCTCCCAAGTGCTGGGATTAAAGGCATGTGTTACCACCATCTGGAGGAAGATACATTTTTTTTAAAGTAACTTATTTTTAAATGTATGCGTGTCTGTGTGTATTGTATTCTTGGGGCCAGATAAATGCATCAGACCCCCTGGGACTAGAGTCACAGGCAGTTGTGAGCCACCCAGCGTGTCGGCTGGAAATGGAACCCAGGTCCTTTGGAAGAGCAGCAAGGTGTGTTCCTAACCCCTGAGCCATCATCTCTCCAGCCCTATTCATTTTGAACTATGTGTACACATGCCCATCTGTGTGAATGCACACAAATGTGAGTGTAGTGCCCTCGGGGTCCCAAAGAGGGCGCTGGAGCTCCCCAGAGCTGGAGCTCCAAGTGGTTCTGAGCCACCCGAACGTGGGTGTCGGGAACTGAACTTGGGGCCTCATGGAAGAGTAGTCTGTGTTCCCAAGCACTGAGCCATCTCTCCAGCCCCTGCAGATTCTTGCTGTTGTCAGGTTTCCAAGCTGCAAACGGAAATGGAGCAATAGGAAGAGAGCACCAGACTTAGGCATCCGTTGCTGAAATCATCTTCAGTTAGATTCCTCAACCAGTCCTAAAGTTTCCGACACAGGCATGACCAGTAATAGGATATTCTAGGTCTCAGAATGTCTCTTCAGAAGATTTTTGTTCACAGCGCCGGGCGTTGGTGGCGCACGCCTTTGATCCCAGCACTTGGGAGGCAGAGGCAGGCTGATCTCTGTGAGTCCGAGGCCAGCCTGGTCTACAGAGCGAGTGCCAGGACAGCCTCCAAAGCTGCAAAGCTACACAGAGAAACTCTGTCTCAAAAAACAAAACAATAACAACAACAACAACAAAAAGATTCTTGTTTACAAAAGGAGAAATGGTTCCTGGGGACAATTCGCAGACAGCTCCTTTGTGAAGCCCAGCACCGCCGGTGTGAAACAGAGGCCATCATAAAAATTGTGGAAGAATTCTCAACAGTTGTTTTAAAATTTTAGCTTTAAAAAAAAAGCAATACATTTAAAATTGTATTGTGTGCTGTGTCTGTGTGTGTGTGTGTGTGCGTGCGCATGTGTAGCCATCCGAGATTCTCTCGTTCTAACACATAGACCCCAAGGTATCAAATGCAGGTGGTCCAGCTTGGTAGCTTCCCGCCCAGTGAACGGTCTTTCCAACGCTGGTCTTTCCCTAGGTCTAGGAGCGCATCCACCGACCTGCGCTAGCGACATGCAGGCAGAGGCGCCCGGGGATGCTGATGGCTGGTTGCTGCCATCTCACTGGATGCCTTCCTTGTTCCCATTGTCCCCTAGATTCTGTCTATCCTGGAAGCTCACCACCTGTCCTCTGAACGGAGGCGGCCCAGGCCCTCTGAGGTAAAGTCTTTCAGTCTGTGGGGCCACGCCTGCTGGGCGTCGCGAGCCCCGCGCCCCTCCTCTAGGCCGGGCGTGTCTGTGACCGCGCCCTGAGCGCGCGCCTTTCTGCCTATGCGGGTCCCCACAGGTCCCGGCACAGTCCCCTGCACGCTCCGTGGATTCCATCAGCCAGGGTTCCTCCGCCTCCAGCGTCTCTCCGGTGTCCACGAGCTTCAGGCGAGAAGAGGTCCAAAAGGACTACCGGGAGGTAAGCCTCCTCCCCGGGCGGGCCCTGGGGTTCCAGAGCTGCCCGCCAGCCTGCTGCCTGCTTACCAGTTAGCTGGATCACTCCACTCCAAGGTCAGATGCGCCCCCAACTGCGTGTCCCCTTGTCCTCGCCTTTTCGGGCTCTTCGAGGTCTTTGCCCCATAGCAGTTCTGGGAATGTGTGTGTGTGTGACTGGCAGGTGGGGTTGGGGGGAAGGGGAGGGTATGCAGGGATGGGGGAAGGGGAGAAGGTGCAGGGAGACGCGCACACAGGACGAGACAGAGACACAGATACGGGGCAGGACAAGAAACAGGCAAACGATATTCTAACGGAAAAAAAATGGACTTGCATGAAGCTGCCTGAGGGTTCTGAGTTCGGACTCCCTGAGTGTGTCCTCTGTCCCCACCCTGCGAGCATCCCCGTCAGAAGGCTGGCACACGTTGTCCCTTACAGTCTGACACGTAGGCGCCTCACAGACAGCTGACTTAGGGTGGTCCGTCCTTTTCCCTTCATCCTCGATGCTTGGACAAAATAGCCACGCAGCCACTCCGTCTCATCCTTCGGCAGAGGTGCGAGCCATTGTATCCCTGGCCCATTGTTCCTCTCGTGGGTCACTGACCACCCCAGTGGGGTCAGGCCTCACCCCCCCAGAGCATTCTCCTGGTGGGGCCTCCAGTGAGCTTCATGCAGTCACAGAAAGGAGGGCAGCGGCGCGCCCAGACAGGGGAGGGGGCCGTGGTGTGCCCAGACAGGGAGGGCCAGACCGGGAGGGCCACGGTGCGCCCAGATGGGGAGGGGCCGCGGTGCGCCCAGACGGGGAGGGGCCGCGGTGCGCCCAGGGCTCCCAGCCTATCAGAGCACCCGAGACGGTTCTTGGGAGGCGTCTACTCTCTCAGCCCCCGCACCTAGCAGAGCATGAGAGTTGAATCTATGAAGAAGTGGACTGGGGTGGCTGGCTTCTTCAGGTACCTACTGCCTTGGCTACTGAGGAGGGTGAGGCAGGAAGACCACAACCCAAGGCTTGCCGGGGCCGTAGTGTGAGTTCAAGGCTTAGCCTGAACAACTTAGTGAGCCTCCGTCTTAGAATTCGAAGTCAAAAGAGCGCTTGCCTAGGATGCATGAAGCAAGCCCTGGGTTCCGTTCCTGGTGCCACCAAACAGGAAGAAGAAAGCCTTCTTGTGTTACGGTCACCATCATCTCACGCCCCCGTAATCAGCAGTTCCGGTTTATATTCACTGGGTGGGGCTCTGTGCAGCATTCAGGGCGTTCTGGATGAACCGTCTCGGGGATGCATTCGAAAGGTGCTGAGTGAGAGAAGGCTACCGGGTTTTCAGAACGCTAATGTCGTTCCTGTTGTTATTCTATACTGAAAACCATTTCCCTGGCCGGGCGTTGGTGGCTCACGCCTTAAATCCCAGCACTCGGGAGGCAGAGGCAGGGGGATCTCTGTGAGTTCGAGGCCGGGCTGGTCTACCTCGCGAGTTCCAGGGCAGCCTCCAAAACAATACAGAGAAAGCCTGTCTCGGAAAACCAAAACAAACAAACAAACAAAAAAGTTTCCCTGACTCGCTTTTCCCTTCCATTAAGGTAGAAAAGCTTCTAAGAGCCGTTGCTGATGGAGACCTGGAAATGGTGAGTTTTTTTGGAGGGTGTCTTTCTCGTCACTGTCACAAGACTGCTCTTAACTGAAGAGGAAGAGGACCCAACCCATTGCTGTAGAGGCAGCTTGGTGATGGGAGTGGAAGGCAGCTACTCTTCACGTGGGGTGGACCGGGAAGCTAAGGGGACCAGAGACAATCAGGGGTGGGTGAAAGCCCCAAAGGCCTGCCCTTAGTGCAGGACATCCCAGGCCATGTCCAGACTCTAGAAGGCTCCACAGTCTTCGGAGTGATAGGAATAACACCCCAGCTAGTGAATGGGCGTCTAAACCAGGAGGCCAGGATTAGAACCCCGGGAAAGGGCGCTTGCAGAGCTCTTACTCTGAAGTGGCTGCACTAGTGTTTCTTGCCTGTGTTTGAGCCTGCGGCTCTGTGGCCTCTCCCTAAGGTCCCCATGGAAGCTCACGTGTACTTTGCATGCGCTTTACATGTGCTTTGCATATAATTTGCATGAGTTTTGCGTATAATTTGCATGATCTTTGCATTTGCATGTAATTTGTTTTTTCGAGACGGTTTCTCTGTGTTGTTTTGGAGGCTGTCCTGGAACTCACTCCGTAGATTGGTCTCGAACTCACAGAGATCCGCCTGCCTCTGCCTCCCGAGTGCTGGGATTAAAGGCGTGCGCCACCACCACCCGGCCACATACACGTAAATTAAAACGAGTAAATCTTTTTTTTAAAAGAGTGCTTTTCCACGGGTGACTGAGTGGGGGCACATCTGCTCCTGTGTTGTAACAAGACGACTTGGGAGAAACCAGATAGGTCTTTTGCAGTTTACAGTTTCAGGGTGCTGACCCAGACTTGTTGGGTTCCGTGCATTTGGGCAGAATATCGTGGTGGTTGAGACTCCTGTTTGGCAGAGGGATTTTTTTCCTTTGTGAGAGACCAAAAGGCGCTCAAGAGAGGGCCTGAGAGGTGGCTTAGTGAGTGAGGGGGCTTGCTACACAGCCAAGTGGACCTGAGCTTGACCTGGAACCCATGTAAGGAGGGAACCGACTTCACAGTTGCCTTTTGCTCTGACCTCCACAAGCGGGCTGTGGCATGTATGTGACAGCCCGCCCCAGTCATGCATGTGCACACACGCAAACATACGGGCAATGATAAGAGGCTTTTTTTCTTTCAAAGGCAGAGCGAGAGGGAACACAGTGTTTGAGATCACACAGCCCCTCCACAAGGGTCGGCCCATAAATGACCTGAGTCCTCCAGCCTGTGCTGGAGCCCATGCATGCCCAGTCTGGGGGGTGGGTGTCTTTGCTTCTGCCCTGCATGCTGGCAGGTGGACGTGGAAAGTCCCTGGTTAGGTGGGGGGCTGGGTCGGGATTCTGGGGTGTGCTCTGGAGCACTCGTCCGTCATGAGGTTTCTGTTGGGTGGCGAGGGAGGATCGGGAACTGACCAGCCTAGGTGGCATAGGAGTGTGTCCTCAGGGCCGGGGTCTGAAAGCCTGCCCTCTAAGCAGCTTCAGTCCGCCCCCCCCCCAAATGATAGGCTAATCCCTCTGTGGTACCCAGGGAACTTAGAATGGCTGAACACAGGTGGAGTGCACATTTATTGTTGGGGAACAAATGTTTTTTGTCAGTGACTACAGTGGTCCAAGGAGTGACTGCACACGCGCACACACACACACACACACATGCACGCACGCACACACTCGCACACGCACGCGCGCGCGCACACACACACACACACACACACACACACACACACACACACACACACTGGTGAAGGCATCGGAATAACCGGGTTCCTGCTTCTCCTCTCTGCCCGCCGCCAGGTTCGCTACCTTTTGGAGTGGACGGAGGATGACCTGGACGACGCGGATGAGGCTGTCAGCACGGTGGATCCTGAATTCTGTCACCCCTTATGTCAGTGCCCCAAGTGTGCTCCGGCCCAGAAGGTTTGGCTGTGCCTGTGTCTGTGGTCAGGGTGGGATGGGGAGGTACATGTTGTTCTTCCTGCCTAGGAAGTGGGAAGTCACTTAGAGTCCCTCATGGGCTGTGTTGGGTCCAGACCCCTCTGTGGTCCCAGAGTTTTGTCTTGGAGCCCTGAGGGAGCAGGGGTGTGATTTCCTGCATTGCCGCCTCTGGCCTCTTGAAGCATTAATGCCGTTTATTTACACCCTCTGCCTTGACTAGAAACTGGCGGGGATTCCTGCCAGCGGGCTTGGTGTGAATGTGACCAACCAGGACGGCTCCTCTCCCCTGCATGTGGCTGCCCTGCATGGCCGCACGGACCTGGTCCTCCTCCTGTTGAAGCACGGTGCCTACCCGGGTGCCAGAAACGCAAGCCGGGCCGTGCCGCTCCACCTGGCCTGCCGGCAGGGGCACTTTCAGGTATGAGCCCCATCGCCTGGGCAGCAGAGCCTCACTTGGCTACGGCGCACTGGGGCGGGGCTCAGGGAAGCTCCTGGGGACAGTGCATTTCCCCTCTCCCCACAGTGGGACCGCACATGGTGGTGGGGACAGTGGGGGGGTTACCGGTGCCCTTCCTCGCTGCCCGTCAGAGCTGCCGCTGGGATTCTGGCTGAAGCGAGAGTGAGTGTCCTCTGTCACGGTGCTGGTCACTACACGCCCTTTAGATCTGTGCAGAATAGCCGGGCGTTGGTGGCGCATGCCTTTAATCCCAGCACTTGGGAGGCAGAGGCAGGCGGATCTCTGTGAGTTCGAGGCCAGCCTGGTCTACAAGAGCTAGTTCCAGGACAGCCTCCAAAGCCACAGAGAAACCCTGTCTCGAAAAACCAAAAAAAAAAAAAAAAAAAAGATCTGTGTAGAATAGCTTAGTATTTTAGAAATGTGTGACCAAGGCCCTGTATGGCCGTCCGAGACAGAAGTGGGCAGTGATTGATTAGCTTTGGTTTTGGTTCGGGATAGATCGGGTCTCAGTATGTCGCTCAGCCTGGTCTCAAACTCTCGGTGCTCCGGCCTCAGCCTCCCGAGTGCCGAGATGACTTCTGCGTGCCTTTACCATGTGCCGTCACGCCTGGCTTTGGCACTTCCTAAAGTCTGTTTTCTCAGGGAAGTTGTCTGTGTGTGTTTATGGTTTTCCTTTGCCTTGGGACGCTCCACTGTTGGGGTCTTAAAGGCAGGGGCATGTTTCCAGTCAGCATCTCTCACAGATAACCGGCCGAGCAGACTGCTTTCCCAGCAGGCATTAGGAGCAGTGGCTGCGTCTCTCCTTAGGCAGTATAAAGGTGGAAACCCCAGGGCCTGGTGCATTGTGGGTACAGAGCTCCCCGACTTGCCCCTCCTTTCTCCTTTCTCCAGAGGGCCTGTTTCACCCTAAAAGAAATATGTCTTTTCCTACATTATAATTAAGTTTTTCCTCTCTGCACTAGGTAGTGAAGTGTCTCTTAGATTCCAATGCAAACCCTAATAAAAAGGACCTCGGTGGGAACACGCCCCTCATGTACGCCTGTTCTGGTGGTCACCATGAAGTTGCCGCGCTATTGCTACAGGTGAGAGCTCTTCCCGGCCATACCAAGCTTTTTTTTGGGGGGGGGGGGTGGTCTTGGTTTTGTAGTTTCAAAAACCAAACAGGATTTCTCTGTGTGACTCTGGCTGTTCTGGAACCCAGGAGTCCGCCTGCCTCTGCCTCCCAAGTGCTGGGACTAAAGGCGTGTGCTGCCGCTGCCTAGCTAGGCTTTTTTGAAACAATTTTTGTTTTTGTAGTATTTGAAGATTTATTTATTTTCTTTTATGTGCATGTATGTATGTGTGTATACTGTGTGCATGCCGTGCCACAGAGACCAGAAGAAGGCACAGGGTCCCCCGGAACTGGAGCTAACAGGCAGCTGTGATCTGCCTGACGTTGGTGCTGGGAACTGAGCTTAGGTCTTCTGCAAGGGTGGTGCACACTCTTGACCACGGAGCCATCCCCCAGGCCCACGCAAGGCTTCCTAAAACCCCGCCTGTGCCTACCTGTCAGTCCCCTGCCTCTAGGACGATGAATTGTGCGCGTGCATTTCTGCTAGTGATTCTGTGACAGTCGGGGGCACAGCTCTGCTTCCGCGGAGGGTCTGGACCTGGCCTTAGCACCATGAGGCATGCCACTGCCCCTCTTTCCTCTTGTGGAAAGCGGCACGTGTTGGTGGTGGGTCAGAGACCGGAGAAGCAGGGACCCCTGCCTTGTCCATACCTCCCAAGACATGGGTGAAATGAAGGGGAGGCCTGGCGGTGCATACCTGTAGTCCTAGCACTTGGGAGGCTGAAGGAGGAGGGTAACACAAGAAAGAAAACCATGTGTGCACTTTTTAGATTGTCGTTATGTTTTCTATTTTATGTCAAAAATTGTTGCTTAAAATCTTTGGCCCGATGTGGTGGTCAGCCTAGGCAACTTAGTGAGACGGAACTCAAAAAAAACAAAAACAAAAACAAAAACAAAAAAATACGCAGCACCGCTGGAGTGTTTTGGTGGCCGGCACAAGTGCCCCAAATACACGGTGTCACCGTGTAACTCACTGTTGAGTGGCGGCTGCTCCTGTGTGCGCGTGACAAGCACACCCTCGTTTGTAAACCGCCTTTTTGCTTAGTGGTTCTGTCGTTGTTATTGTTTTAATCCACAGCAGTTTGAGAAAGTATTTTTCTGTCTAACATAGGAAAGTGTTGCTAAAGAGAAAATTTTTGAAGTCTTGATTTGGGGACTAAAGAGATGTCTCAGCAGTCAAGAACCACGGTCTTGCAGAGGGCCTGACTTTGGTTCCCAGCACAGTATCAGGTGGCTCACAGGCTCACAGGGGATCTGCGCTTCTGGCCTCAGTGGGCACCTCGGCTCCCTCACACACACACAGACCCACACAAACATTCACACAGGCACATAATTAAAAATTTAAAGAAGAGCCGGGCGGTGGTGGCGCATGCCTTTAATCCCAGCACTCAGGAGGCAGAGGTGGGCGGATCTCTGTGAGGCTGGACCGACAGTCTCCAAAACAATACAGAGAAACCCTGTCTCAAAACAAAAACCAACAAAAAAAATTTTTTAAAGAAGAGACAAATCCAATTTGTTTTTAAAACACACACCTATAATCCTAGCACCCAGGAGACCTGAACTTGAGGCCAGCCTGGGCTACATAGTGACATCATCTCAAAATCAGATTTTTTTTTTTTGAGACAGGTTCTCACTATGTAGCTCTGGCCTTGAACTCTCTGTGTAGACAGACATGCTGGCCTTGAACTCAAAAAAAAAATAGGCTTGCCTCTGCCTCCTGAGTGCTAGGATTAAAGGTGTGTGTCACTACCCTGTCTTTAGAAAATCATTTTATGGACCTGGGAGATGGCCCTTCAGGTAGGAAATGCTTGTGTAAGCCCAAACTACCTAACTTCTAAACTCCACCCCTGGGCCAGGTAAAAAGTAGATGTTCTGGAGCAAAGAGATGGCTCAGCCGTGTTAAGAACACTGGCTTTTCTCTTTTTTCTTTTTCTCTCCTTTTTCTTTTTGTTTTGTTTTGCTTTTTTTTGAGACAAGGTTTCTCCGTGTAGCTCTGGCTGTGCTGGAACTCACTCTGTAGAACAGGCTGGCCTTGAACTCAGAGATTTGCCTGCCTCTGCCTCCTGAATGTTGGGGGTAAAGGTGTGTGCCGCCACCACCGCCCAGCTTTTACTGGCTGTTCTCTCAGAGGATCCAAGTTCGGTTCCTAGCACCCACATAGTGGCTGACAACCATCCGTGTTCCGGGGTATTTGGATCCTTTTCTGGCCTCCAAAGCCACCAGGCGTGCACATGGTACAGTGCACATACGTGCACACTGGATGCCCTGTGGTCATGCCTGTAATCCCGGCACCCTTACCTCGGTATGGGTCATGGGGATGGGAGAACTGGTTCCCATGGGGACGGGAGAACTGTCATGACGTTCCCTTGTGCAGTGGAGGAACAGAAATGAGAGACCCTGCCTCAAAACACAAGGCAGAGAGAGAGAGAGACAGAGACAGAGAGAGACAGAGAGGAGAGAGAGGGGGAGAGAGAGAGAGAGAGAGAGAGAGAGAGAGAGAGAGAGAGAGACAGACAGACAGACAGACAGACAGACAGAGAGAGACAGAGAGACAGAGAGACATAGACAGACAGAGAGGAGAGAGAGAGAGAGAGAGAGAGAGAGACAAAGAGAGGAGAGAGAGAGACAGAGACCAGCTCCCAAAGACTTGTTTTCTGACCTCCATACGCGTGCCGTGGCACACACGCACTTGAGCCAATAAGTAACATTTTTTCTGCAAAGCAATCTTGCGGGTGAGCAGTCTCATGGATTCTGCATCCCCCGTCTCTTCTAGCACGGGGCCTCCATCGATGCTTCCAACGACAAAGGCAACACAGCCCTGCACGAGGCCGTGATGGGAAGGCATTCCTTGGTGGTGGAGCTGCTCCTGTTTCACGGGGCATCTGCCGACGTCCTGAACAAGAGGCAGTGCACCGCTGTGGACTGTGCGGAGCAGGTGACACAGTGCTTGTGCACGGAGGCGGCCCCACGCGCCCCGCGCGAGCGCCCCCCAATCATGTTGTGGGTCCCTTGCGTCCAAACCAGATGTGAGGTCCTTGGCGTCCTGTGCTGAGTGAGCACGTCACACGTCCACTGGCAGGGCTGGGTGCTAGCCACTGTCACCTGGTCGGGCATGCTCAAGGTGCCGGTGCTCGTTCTTTCCGGGGTAGTTCCAGAGGCCCAAGTGAGGTGGGGTGTGTGTGTGCATCGGTGGCCGCTGTTAGGCACCTTGATCTAGCGTACACAGACGCTGTCACATCTGGGCGGTGGCAGGTTAGACGCCACTCTGGGTTTGCCAGCCCTGTAGCACCATGGAAAGCTTTAATTTGTGGATTTCAACCCCTCGGATTCTGAGAGGATTTGGATCCCCACCGTACCACTCTCTCCAGTCAGTCATGGGAAAAGACAGTTGCTTTCCTCCGTTCCTGTCTCCAGGGGAAATCTTGGCTTTGAACTCCAAAAGGACAACTGCTTGGTTGTTGATCGACCCCAACAGAGATGTTAAAGTCACTATAAATTCAACCTAATTATAGGTCTATTTAATTTTAAGGGTAGAGGCATGACTCAGTGGTAAAACACCTGCCTAGAATCCCCTAGTGAGGGACTGGGAGCATGGCTCAGTGGTAGAGCCCCTGCCTAGAATCCCTCAGTGAGGGGCTGGGGTGTGGCTCAGTCGTAGAGTCCCTGCCTAGAATTCCCCAGTGAGGGGCTGGGAATGCAAGGTCCTGGTTAACATCCCTAGCACCTCAAAAGGAAAAAAAAACCTTGCAAATACTGCCTCTTATTGTCTTGGTCTAGAGATGGAATGTACTTCAGGAAGGTGTGTTGGGTGGAAGGTGATGAATTTTGGCTGTCCTTGAACGGACTGAAGTATGGGTGAGGGTTGATATTACTTAACGGGTGACACTTGACTTCCCGTTTAGAACTTTCTCAGAGTATGTTCTATTATGGGTTGGGCAGTGGCTCCCGAGCAGCCTGCTGGTAGCCGCATAGTGTGACAGCCCTCTGTGCTGACCCCAGCTGTGCACGGAGGTCTCAGTGCAGGCAGGGGGGGGGGGGGCTCCTAGGGAAGGCCGGAGCTTCTCCACTGTTGCCCCCAGGCTCACACTCCTGAGCTCAGGCTGCTCTCTGGCATTAGGGTTAGGGTTAGGGTTAGAGTGTTAGGGTTAGGGTTAGGTTTATTGTTAGGGTTAGGGTCTCAGTCCCAAGCGCTGAGACAGCGGGCGCCGGGCGGAGCCTGGATGTGTTCGCATTGCTTCAGAGCATTCTTGGGGAGAGGGCTCAGTCACGCCAGTGTATTATAACTAGATGGAAACCCGAGGTAACGGTCTGCTGAGAAAACACTAAACTTACTTAATGCCATTCCCTCCTCCACACTGCAGGGTTCAAAGATAATGGAGCTGCTGCAGGTTGTGCCGAGTTGCGTGGCGTCCTTAGACAATGTCACTGAGGCGGACCACAGGGAAGGTGTGACCGTTGAGATCAGGAAGAAGTGTAAGTGCTTCTAAACTCTCTACCTGGGTCCAGCTGGAAGTTCACGAGTAGCTGGTGCATTTTAGAGAGGGAATGTGCGAGAGAGAGACAGACAGACAGACAGACAGACAGACAGACAGACAGACAGACAGAGAGACGGGGGGGGTAGGACAGGAGATCAGTCCTGGGGGTCATTCCTCAGGAGCCGCCCAGCTTGTATTTCAGAGAGTTTCCCACTAGTCTGGAGCTCTGGAGTAGGCTAGGCTGGCTGGCCATTAAGGAAGGACTCTACCTGCCTCTGCTTCCCCGATGCTAACATTGCAAGCATGCAGCACCACACCTGGCCTGCATCTGTGTCTGTGTACTGGGTGTGCTTGGAGACTAGACACGAGGGTCTCAGATGCCCTGGAACTGGAGTGACCACTGGGAACCAAACCAGGCTCCCGTGGAAGAGCAGCCAGTGCTCTGACCACTCACTGAGCCTTTGGTTCCGGGGCCGGAACTCAGGTCTTCATTCTTCCATGGCAAGCACTCGAACTCACAGAGACCCGCCTGCCTCTGCCTCCCAAGTGCTGGGATTAAAGGTTTGCGCCACCACAGGCCAGCATGTGCTGCAGTTTTAAAGTTCCCTTGACTTACAAATTTTTCATGTGTTTTACTGTTTCCTCCCCACACACAGGGAATCCCAGAATGTATGATCTGCCAGAAGAGCCTTTTAGGAGACAGTTTTGCCTCACTAACCCTGGGGGGCAGTTCCAGTGAGTAATTAGTTCAAGTTGACTTTGGACTCGGGGTTAGCGTCCAGGGGATGTTGGGATACATACAGCTTTAAACTATGCATGCAATGCTGCCATCTTGTGGCCAGCAGAAGGCTTTGTACCATTACCCAGATGTTTACCTTTTTTTTTTTTTTTTTGGATTAATACTTTTTGCATTTTAGGGAAAGAACTTCACGGGAAACTATGGGAAGGGATAGGAGTGTGCCTGATCTTACTGGAGGGTCTCTGCGGGAGGTGAGTGATTACGTGGTAAGGGCTTATTAAAAAGCAATTCAGAGCCGGGCAGTGGTGGCACATGCTTTTAGTCCCAGCACTCTGGAGGCAGAGACAGGCGGATCTCTGTGAGTTCGAGGCCAGCCTGGTCTACAGAGTGAGTTCCAGGACAGCCAAGGCTGTTACAGGGAGAAACCCTGTCTTGAAAAACACAAAACAAAAATCCACAATAAACATTTCTCAAAACTCATCATTTCACTCTCTCCTTCAGTGAAAGAATTAGCAACAGTTAAAACTAAGCCTCCACATTGGAGCAGACAAGAGTGTGGCCTTAATGAGTAAACTTTAAATTACAGCTCTGGACAAGAGTTGGTGGCACACGCGCCTCTAATCCCAGCACGGGATTTGTGTGACAGAATTTGATTTCGCAGGACACACCCAGGAGCAGGGACTGTAATGTCTTGCTGAGTGCATTCTGCCCTTGCTGTGTGACAGTAGGGTGTCCTTACTGTGAGGTTTCCTTGCTGGAGAAGCAGCAGCACATACTGATTGGAGACTCAGAAAGCACTTTGTGTGACGCATGGAGCATGACAAGTGCTGTCTCCACAGGGACGTCGAATTGTCACTGCCCGTGGGGTTCTCTGCCTTGTCTGGCACCCTCGGGCAAAGCTGAGTCTACTGTGGTGGTTGAAGACGCGTTACAGCCATAACCTCGGTTTCTTATCTTCCCCTCAGCCGGAGGAGCAGAGAGTCTCGGGAATTCCGGATGACCCGTCATCAGACCGGAGCGGATGTCAGGCTTCTGAGGAAGGAAACAAGGGGCTCCCAGAGAGGCCTGTGCCGAGGCAGGCTGCTCCTGGACACAGGCGGATGGTCCGCAGGCATACAGTCAATGACGCGGCCGTACCCCAGGCCCCAGAGGTGGCTGGCCACCTGACCACCCAAGAGGCTAGTGTCTCTCGGTCCTAGCAGTAAGGGTTGGTATATCTGCTACCGACACGCGAGTTTGCAGTAGGAAGGTGAGCACGAATACAGCTTAGAGCTGAGTATGCTTTTCAGTAACCAGCTGGAGAGACTGTCCCTCGGATTTACCACCCTCTCTCCTCCTCGAAGCTAACCAACACACTTGAAAAGGAATAGTAGGGAATGAACGGGCCCCTTCGTCTTGGTATGCGGATTTCCTGGTTGTGGGCAGAGGCTTCACCATCACATTCTGACCGCCCTCCTTTGGCTGGAAGGTGCTGGCTGGCTGTGGCGAGGAGAAGCCGGCAAATCCTAGGCTAGCAGGTTGCCCGTGTCCGGGAGAAGTCCCAGAAGCCTCGTCGGTCCTGTGGAAACGGGCGCCAGGCAGAGCAGCATCCTGGTGGGGTGAAGAAATGGAACCTGCAAACACTTGAACTGGGAAGTGCCTGAATGCCACCCTGCCTCGTTCTACACCACACGTGTGGGGAAAGTTGGCCGCCACTTCCCCAGCGACAGAGCGACTCTGGTCACCGTGTGCGCGCCTGCGGCAGTTCCTGCTGACCGGCCTTCCCACTGACAGACTGACAGACGGGTACTGGAGAGCAGCTTTGGCACATCTTAGGTCTTTCGATTCAAATTCCAAGCTTACAGCACAAGCCAGGTCGGAGTTTTACGTTGAGGATTCGTTGCCATTGATTCCTTTTTATAACTTTCTATAGATTCTGTTATTTTTTTATGTTCCTGACCCTAAAGTCGCAAACATGGGTTCATCCCGAGTCAGTTTCCAAAGGACTTTGTAGAGAGGAAGTGATTTTGTGCACATTCTTGGAGAAACTCGCCGATGTATAGGAGGGGCTGATTATTTTTCTACAAAGTAATTTATGATTTCTAATTTTCTAATGTGCCTTGGATATGTGCCAAATGATGGAAAAGAAAACAGTAAACTTTATGATTCTTGAGCATGGCATGCAAGTTTTTTTTTTTTTTTTTAATTTTGCTGTGCAGTTTCTCAGCCACCCTTTTGCAAGCCTGCTGTGGCATTTCCTCCCTGGGCCTCCTTTCAGAGCAGTGGGTGGGAAGCCTTAAGAGTCATCACACGGAAGTATAGTAGCCAGCCTGAGGGCCCCTGCCCGTGTAGACGGCGCTCCCTTCCCTAGTCTTTCCCCGACTCTGTCTACACACTAGCCCCTCCGAGGAGGCTGGAGGAAGAGGAGGCGCACATTCAGCTCGGGGTCCCACGATTGTCCCCCTCCTCGCCCCCATCCCTCAGCACGCCCAGCTGCGATGATCTTTTGCGGGTGGGTCAGCTGATGTGATGAAGATGGGGGTGTGGTCTGGCTCAGGATGGTCCTGCACAGCACCGCGATGCGTGGAAAGCATCCTCGTGGGGTAGGTGCGGGTGGGTCAGCCGATGTGATGAAGATGGGGGTGTGGTCTGGCTCGGGATGGTCCTGCACAGCACCGCGATGCGTGGAAAGCATCCTCGCGGGGTAGGTGCGGGTGGGTCAGCCGATGTGATGAAGATGGGGGTGTGGTCTGGCTCCGGATGGTCCTGCACAGCACCCGTGGAAAGCACCCTCGTGGGGTAGGTGCGGGTGGGTCAGCCGATGTGATGAAGATGGGGTGTGGTCTGGCTCGGGATGGTCCTGCACAGCACTGCGATTCGTGGAAAGCATCCTCGCGGGGTAGGTGCAGGGGCTCCTGCATTCAAGGCCACTGGGACACTCAGAGCGCCTAGGTCACTCAGAGCAGACCGTCGTCGCCCATCGCGTGTACCTGCTCAGGGTCAGTGGTGTACACAAATCTCAAGCCTGCCCGCAACGACACTTCTGGTGGTACTTAGGTTGCCTCACTGGCCTTGGGCTTCTGCCCCCCCCAGCCTGTGAGCTGGGATCACAGGCCTGCAGCAGCGCAGGGACCAGGAAAGAATGAGTGCAGCCCTCCTGACACAGGAGGATGAGAACCGTGTGCTGCTGTCGGGTCGGTTGACGCTTCACGTTCCCGCTTAAGGCTTTTCTGTCTACGCGCCCGCACAGGAGGGAATGCATCAGATCCTGTGACTGGGGTTCTCGGTGACTGTGAGGTGCCCTGCGGGTCCTCTGAAGAGCGGCCAGTGCTCGTCACAGCGGAGCCGTCCCTCCAAGCCCTCCCCATTTCATTTCTAACCAAGCCACTTTACTGCTGTGCTGCCCAGGCTCCGACCCCCTGGCTTACCAGATTCTAAAGAGGCGGCGGGCTCAGGCATCCGAGGGGAGTGCTTCAGCCTGCTAGTGCAGGCTCGCCCCTCGCTGGCCGCTGCAGGGAGGAGCGGAGCAGCGTGCACCCGCTATCGTTCCGCGGGTTTTTGCAGTCAGCTTTCCCCACTTAAAAGGGAAACTTGACATGGCTGTTAAAAATTGGCAATGCTCAAACCTCTCTAATTCCAAGTACTTGCTGCTCCGTGCCTGGAGGCTAACCACACAGCTGTTGTCAGGGCCCATCCCTGTATACACAGCCCACTTTCCATTCCCAAGTGTCCTTCAGCACACCTCAGCCATTAGCCATCAGGACTGGTAACTTTAATGAAACATGTAACAAAATTTGCAGAGACATGTCGGGGATTTTTCTAGCACTCCAGGAGCCATAAAGCAAATTTAAAGTGTAAGTGGGAATTTGAGGCTGTGCACTCATGAAGTTCTGCGTTCAAGTCCCAGAACCACACAGACCAGGTATGACGGTGCACGTATGTAATCTCAGCACCAGAAATACAGAAGCAGGAAGATGATGAGCCTGAGGTAGTCCTCGGCTAAAGGGAGAGTTGAGACCAGCTTTAGACGTAACAATAACAGCAAACCCAATATATATTCAACAAAACCCTCTCAATGAAACCACCCACAGAACCCTTCAGTAGATTCCGACTGTGGTGGTGCAATCCTGAACACAAATTGATGATCCAGTTATTTGCAATTTTTTTTTAGAATTTATTTTTATCAGGTATGTGCGTGTGCTTATAAGGGGCTTCATGGTAGGTTTCTGGGGCCGGCGGGTGTCTGATCCCCTGGAGCTGGAGGTACAGGCTGTCGTGAGCTGCCCAACGCGGTGCTGAGAAGAGACTTGTGTCCTGTGCTTGTCGGCACTCAACCATCAATCACTCCAGCCTACTCCTTGTAAACACGCCACTGTTCAATAGTTACCGCAGGGTGTCCTACTTACTCTGCAAAAGTAACACTCTGGTTGTTTTGGAGCAGAGTGGTATTTGTTGGATAATGGAAACTCAACACCTCTGAAAAGTAAATTAAATCAAAAGCTAGGAAATCGAAATGCTATCTGCAGGAAAAGGACATGTCCTTCCTTGTTTTTGCAAGTTTTGTCTGAAGAACGCTGGATGTGCTCGGATCTTAAAGCTGATTCGGTTGCCCGGGGTTTTCTTTCCCTTGCTGTATGTATGTCTCGCTGCTGAGGCACGCTGGCACAGCTTCCGATTCTCCGCCTCACGTTAATGTCCTGGCTGCAATGGATAAACTTGCACTGCCGCCATTTAAAAGCTTTTGGAAGGAAGGGATCGATTACCCAAAACACAGATCTTCTTGTGAGTTGCCTGATGATTCTGCAACACCCAAACTGCTTTAGTTTGAGTAACAAGTTTATTTTTTCAAAAGGCATATAGAGATAATAAACAAAGTAAACATTTAAAGGTTGTAACTGCCCTAGACACTGCTCCGTAAGGCTGTCTAAGCATGTCCTCTTAGTAATCGTCATCTTCATCCGAGTCCATTACTTTTCTTCTGTTGAACTAGGGAAATTAAAGGAATGTCAGACACGTTATAAAGCCTCAGATTTTCTGAGAAAAACATCTTTAATTACTCAAGTGGGACTTTTATGTGTGTGCCTTTGGAACGACTTGCTAAGTGGAGAGGGGTAATTTGAGAAGTAAGAATCTACCATTTACTCTCTCCACATAGCCAGACTCTTCCCAACCACACTGCAGACCCTGTCCACAGCTCCAAGGCCCGCTGACTGCTTGGGCAGGCACACACTCAACGCCTGACACAACCTTGCCTTCACGCGGGGCACTTACTTTAACTGTTGTCTTCTTTTCTGTCTGTTGGCTGACTTTCTCAAGTATTTCTATTAAACCTTGTTCTGACACCTGTAACCAGAAAGAACAGTGTTTCAAAGCAAGCAGCATCTCTAAGCAACCTCAGTAAAGTCTCTCCAAGGTGCCGGGATTCATCAGGAGGGAAGCAGAGGGACAGCCAGGGGGTTTGAGGCCACCGCTGTCAACGCTAGCAGGGCAAGGACAGCCACTGTGTGGAAGGTCACAGGCTCAGACAGGCAGCCTACCGACACCACCCCAGAGACAACGTCCTCAGAAAAGAAAGCTGGTTCTTTCCAGCTCCCGTGCACACTGGTGTGTGTGGCCACTGAAGCTTGAAGACTGGGTTTCCCAGATGTAATCCTCATGGCAGGCAATCCAGCCAGACACACAGACACGCTGACACACAGACACACCAGGACTCAACCTCCCCTCACAAGTGCAAAACAAGCCTCACCTCTGTAAACGGTGGTGGTATTTAACTGAAATTGACAAACTTGCTATTTCCACTGCAGGAACAATTTAAGCCTGATGACTCTAATAGTCCCTGGGTCACACTAGCACAAACAATATTCCACACAACACCAGGAGAGTAGAAAGCTGAGCATTTTAGGACAGGTAACTGTCACTCAAGTGGGGGTGATTATTCTCTCTCAATTAAGACTTCTTTTTTGTTTTTTGTTTTTCGAGACAGGGTTTCTCTGTGGCTTTGGAGGCTGTCCTGGAACTTGCTTGGTAGTCCAGGCTGGTCTCGAACTCACAGAGATCCGCCTGCCTCTGCCTCCCGAGTGCTGGGATTAAAGGCGTGCACCACCAACGTCCGGCCAATTAAGACTTCTTTAGTCAGCAAGAATTCTATATTCAAACATGGAAATTACATGGTGCAGCTGACTTATTAAGTTTTAAAACGCCATATGTATTAGTGTGCCCGCGTCTATGTGAGCCATGTGCTTGAGTAGTGTGCCCGTGTCTGTGTAAGCCATGTGTGAGTAGTGTGCCCGTGTCTGTGTAAGCCGTGTGTGAGTAGTGTACCCGTGTCTGTGTGAGCATTGTGTGAGTAGTGTGCCCGTGTCTGTGTAAGCCGTGTGTGAGTAGTGTGCCCGTGTCTGTGTAAGCCGTGTTTGAGTAGTGTGCCTGTGTCTGTGTGAGCCATGTGTGAGTAGTGTTCCCATGTCTGTGTAAGCCGTGAGTAGTGTGCCCGTGTCTGTGTAAGCCGTGTGTGAGTAGTGTGCCCGTGTCTGTGTAAGCCGTGTGTGTGGGTAGTGTGCCCGTGTCTGTGTAAGCCGTGAGTAGTGTGCCCATGTCTGTGTAAGCCGTGTGTGAGTAGTGTGCCCGTGTCTGTGTAAGCCGTGTGTGTGGGTAGTGTGCCCGTGTCTGTGAGCCGTGTGTGTGAGTAGTGTGCCCGTGTCTGTGTGAGCATTGTGTGAGTAGTGTGCCCGTGTCTGTGTGAGCCGTGTGTGAGTAGTGTGCCCGTGTCTGTGTGAGCATTGTGTGAGTAGTGTGCCCGTGTCTGTGTGAGCCGTGTGTGAGTAGTGTGCCCGTGTCTGTGTGAGCCGTGTGTGGGTAGTGTGCCCCAGCGTCTCTATACGCAGCACACGCACGTGTGGAAGTCAGGAGCGTCCTGCATCTGCGGAGCGGGACTGAGAAGAAGCTCCAGGCCTCTGCAGAGAGCAAGCGCGGTTCCCGCTGAGCAGTGGCCAGCCCCAAAGCAGGGCTTGCAGACCAGGTGACAGCACGCTCCTTCGGGCAGTCCCGCTTACCTTCCCGCTCAGTTGTCCATACCGTGCCATCTGTATGAGGTAGTTCTCTACCGCTTTAGTTTTTTCAGGCTTTACAAGCGCTAAGTTACTTACTAAAAAGAAAACAGCAAACAAAGAAGCGTGAAGACTAAAGGCACTAATTATACCTTAAAACTATCCTGACACTTCCAAAGTACTTCACAAGTTCATGTCTGCCAACAGGCAAAAGGTAGTTAGGGCAGTAATAACAACCCTGTTGGGGATGTCCTTTGTCAATAAAGCACTGCTGGCCAATAGGAATCTAGATAGGTGGGACTAGGAGTCCAGGAGGACTCTGGGAAGGAGAAACACAAGAGAGTCAAGATGTAACGCCATGGGGTAGGAAGCCCGGAACTATTCTCCAGTAAGAGACATACTTAGATTAACAATTATGGGGTAATTACTTACGTCAGAGCTAGCCAGTAAGAAACAAGCAAGGCCAACAGCTTCATAATTAATATAGCCTCCTGTGTGTTTATTTGGGACTGATGCGGCTCTGGAACCAGGCTGGTGGGAAGGCTTCTCTCAAGGAAAAAGCCTCTCTTTACACAACCCCTTTCCAGATTTATGGACGTCATACTTCTTGCAATGTATTTCAAATACTTTAAACATTTACTCTGATGAGAGCAATAACTACACATATGCATCTACCCATCCAGTTACCTCAAGCCAACTTTACGGGAATAAAGGAAATTGAAGATGCTTACACCTGGCCCGGGCTGACTGATCCAGAACTTGGGCTAAGATACTGTTTCTCACTTCTGTTTCCCTACAACAAAACATAGGTCACACAAGATTAGAACTAAGCTGTCGGCACGCCGAATTCAAAGTCATTTACTCAATGCCTCTTTAAGAGAATCTTCACATTTTATCTATCTTGGGGGGCACACACCACAGCACACATGTGGATGTTAGACAACAATTTCAGGGAGTGTCGGTTCTCCTCTCGCCATGCGGGTCCTGAGGACCGAGTTCAGACCATCGGGCTGGGTGGCCAGTGCCCCTACCTGATGAGCCACCCAGCAGCAGGTCGCTATGAGACACCTGTGGTTCACAGACTGTACAGACTGCCTTCCAAGAGCCAGCTCTGTGAGCGGAAACCTACCAGAGCGGCAGGACACTATTCCACGGGGTAGTATTTCAGTTCAACAACCATCGGGTACCCAGTGTGACACGTGCTACACACCTGTAGTGGAGTCTTAGGAATTAAGAGAGACCAAGTGCACTTTCTTTAGGGAGGATGCAGAGGCCTATGGAGACTCTGAAGAGAAAAACTGCGGCCCAGGTAGAACCAACAGACCCCGTGAAAGTCCAACTCTGCAATCGTTCTGGCTTCTTCCTAAACACTCACGTAGGAACTGTGGCACACTGTTTTCAAACTTACAGAGCTCAGGCTGGCCCGGAATTCTCTAGGTAGCCAAACTTTCTCCCTCAGCCTCCCAGGACTGTGCCACCTCACTCTGCTCTACGTCTCTGAGTAGGAGGTGGCTGGTTTGCTCTCTTGGCTCCTCAGGGGCTCACCACCCAGCTCGCAAATACATCACACGGAGTCTTATTGGTACTTAGCAACACCCAGCCTTAGCTTGGTTTGTTTCTAGGCAGCTTTTCTTCCTTAAATTATCCCATCTCCTGTGTCTCTGCTCTTATCTTTCTCTGTTCTGTACACCTTTCTTTACTGGACGGCTGGCCCTTAGTGTCCTCCTCCTCTTCTCACTGCTTAATCCTCTCCTCTCAGATTCTCCTCCCATTTAGTCTCTGCCTGCCAGCCCTGCCTGTCCTTTTCTCCTGCCCTGCTCTTTATCAGACCAATCAGGTGGTTCAGGCAAGCAAAGTGACGCAGCTTCACAGAGTTAAACAAATGCAACATAAAAGAATGCAACACATCTTTGCATCATTAAAGCCAATGTGCCACAGCATAAACAGATGCAACACATCGTAAAACAATGTTCTACAACATAGGAGACAACCACCCAACGAACCTATTACACAAAGCAGACGGCAGCAGACTTGGTCTGGCAGAATTAAAGGACAGCTGGGGTTGGTTGTGCCCACTATCAAGGGCTTTGGGAACTGGACGTAAAGTGTATTAGGTCATTTTCTCGGAGTTCCTGAATCTAACTAAGACGCTATGGGTTATAAGACACATCGGTCAGTTTTTGCCACGCTGGTACTCGAACCCAGGGCTCTGCAGACGATGGAAATGCTCTAACCCTGTATACTACATCCTCAGCCCCTCTTTTTTATTTTTATTTTCCAGCTTGAGACAGGCTCTTGCTAAGTTGCCCAAGCAGGCCTTGAACACGAGATCCTGTCTCAGCCTCCCAAGCTGCTGAGACTCCAAGAATGAATGAGACCCCCTCATGAGGGACCCCGAGTGGAGAGGGAAACGAAACCAGCTCCTCTGAGAGTGTGGACTTGGAGGTTCGACCTTTTCGGGGTGCTAACTGGATCTGCGCTACCAGGGAAGAGGGAGTGGGGGCCGAGGGGCCACTTGACTGGGTGCTCAGATTCGAAACACGCCCAAGAGATGGCGGGGGCAAAAGTAGGGTGTATTCGCACACCAAATACATGTTTGTGCTTGTGAGAAAGTGCTTCAATGGCAGTGTAACTTAATGCTTCCTGAACACTCAGTGGGAGGCCCTGGGTCTAGAAATCCCCTCGAAGTAATTCTATTATGATGCGTAGCAGAAAGGCATCAGGCAGAGCCCTGAAACAAGGCATTAAGGGAACCGCCATGGGTATCTGCTGAATCATGCTAAGAAGGGAATTACCCTCGACACGGACTTACTAGACAACTCACCGTGGAAGGAAACCTATTAGCAGTCACACACCAATCACAACTACTAAATAAAAGAGATAAAATGCGGCCACCCTTCCGGAAACCCATACCTTTGCTTTGTCTCCTGCTGGGCTGCATCACCAGGGTCCTGAAAACAAAAGACAATTCCACCTTTTAGTCAGTGGAGGCGGCAAAAGAGGAGAGGGGGAAAAAAAAAACAGAAGGTGCCCGCAGGGGAGGGAGGTAGGAGGACCTCACAGCGTCACAACGCCAGCCTGGGCTAACCCTTACCAGCCTGGGCTAACCCTTACCTCGAAATAAAGCAAGATAACAAACCAATGAAAACAAAAACAAACAAAAAAGGGCTTATTCGGCCGGGCGTTGGTGGCGCACGCCTTTAATCCCAGCACTCGGGAGGCAGAGGCAGGCGGATCTCTGTGAGTTCGAGACCAGCCTGGTCTACAGGGCGAGTTCCAGGACAGTCTCCAAAGCCACAGAGAAACCCTGTCTCGAAAAACCAAAAAAAAAAAAAAAAAAAAAAAAAAAGGGCTTATTCGGTGTTATTTCACTTTTCCCCCCAATCCGGTAACAGGGCTGCTCAAAGTGGGCACCGGGCCTCACAATAATAATAATAATGATAATAATAATAATAATAATAACCAAGGAGCCGGTTTCCATCTGCAAGGTCCTGTTTTATTACATTACGGAAGGGGGCCCGGCTAACTAACCTCCCTCCCCCGACCTTCCCAGGACGAGCTTCTGCAGTCACAATCTAATAGAATCTCCGAGAACACTCACATCACACACGCACACGCACGTTCCCCGCAGAGGCCCTGCACCGTGAGCCCTGCGTCTGCCCACCAGAAGGCTGCCTGGAGAAGGGGGGACCCTGGCTCGGGCTCCAGAGGGACGCGCCCGCCCCCGAGGGAGGCTCGACGGCGGCCGGCTGCTCTCCCCATCCCCGGGCTGCGGCGGCTCCGGCTCCCTCCTTCCTTCCCCGGGGACCGGGGGGAGGCTCAGAGAGACCCGGGGTCTGCAGCGCGGACGTCCGGCCAGCGACACCCGACCCGAGACCGCCGGGGCTCCGGGTTCGACGGCGGCGGCCGAGGCGTGGCTCGGGGATTGGGGGTGCGAGCGAGCCGGGCGGGGCCTCCGGGGACTCCGCCCCCAACGCCGCCGCCGCCGCCGCACACGCGCGGAGCTGCCGGGGAGAGCGGGGAGCCCCTGCCCCCGGGGGTGGGGGGCGAGGGCGGCGGCGACGACGGAACCCCGCCCAACCGCCCGCCCCGCTCCGCCCGCCCCGCTCTCTCGCCCCGCTCACCCCGTGCTTGGCCTGCAGCTCCGCGAGCCTCTGCTTCCTCAGCGCCTCGAGCTCTTCGTCCGCCATGGCGCGGCCGGCCGTCCCTCCGTCCCTCCGTCCGACGTCGCGCAGGCGCAGGCGCCGTCGCGGGGCGGGGCGGGAAGGGGGCGGGGTCGCGCAGCCGCACCCGGCACGCCGGTGGGGGGGGATTCGACGCTCTCGGCCCGGAAGACGCCAGCTGCCGCGCAGGCGCAGGCGCAGGCATCCGCAATCGAGTCCTGAGCCGAGCCCTGCCCGGGGGAGGAGGCGGGGAGAAGCGCGCCTTGCGGAGCGCCGATCGTCCTTCGTCGCTAAAAGGCGCAGAGCCTCTAGAGGGAGCTTCTTGCCAGAGATAGATAGATGATAGATAGAGATAGATAGATAGATAGATAGATAGATAGATACATACATACATACATACATACATACATACATACATGATGATAGATAGAGAAAATCTAGTTATAAGACATCGACTAGCAAGGATAATAATTAGCGCAATTTTGCTGATATCTCCCGTAATGAGTCACAGGGGGGCTTGGGAAGGCGAAGAGAGAGCTTGGAAACGTTCTAGAACTAGATTTGTGGCAGTGGTTGCAAATTATTTACACACACACCCAAAAAAACCCTTTTTGGTTGTAGCAGATTGGAATGCGTTAACTGTGAGGAGGGAATTGGAAGAGACCACCTGGCCGTTGAAAAGCCAGGTGAAAGCAAAGTCAGGTAGAGAGACTGGAATGGGGCTGTAAAAAAAAAAAAACAGTCTCCAGAGATTGGCGATGGGGAAGTCCTGCGAAGTGTGATCAATTTACAAATCAGATTACTCCTTAATCAGTACCCTGTCTGCCTTACCCCCACCCCCAGGGCCTTCTCTGATAGATGCTGTGGGTGTGTGAACTCTGGCAGTATAGACACACACACACACACACACAAACACACACACAGAGCTTCCCTCCCTCCCTTCCTTCCTCCCTTTCTTTTTTAAAGATTTATTTATATGTATACAGTGTTCTGTCTGCATGTATGCCTGCACACCAGAAGGTCGCCACCATGTGGTTGTTGGGAACTGAACTCAGGACCTCTGGAAGAGCAGCCAGGGCTCTTAACCTCTGAGCCATCTCTCCAGCCCCCACCGTTCCTTTGAAGTGTGTGTGTGGGTCCCGATATGGGGCGGAGTGACTGAAAAAGAAAACATGCTCAACTCTCCTATCCTGTGACTTGCTTGACATGTACATTTTTGGTTTTGCTTTGTTTTTTTGTTTTTGTATTTTTTGAGACAGGGTTCCTCTGTGTAGCTTTGTAGACCAGGCTGACCTCGAATAAACAGAGATCCACCTGTCTCTGTCTCTGCCTCCCGAGTGCTGGGATTGAAGGTGTGTGCCATCACCGCCCGGAGAGGTGTAAGTATTTTCATTATGTTAAAATATGCCTAACCGTTTTGGTAATTTTTAAAAAATCGTGTGTGTGGTGTGTTCTTGAGGACCTACCGTCGGATCCCCAGAGCTGGAGTTCGAGGCAATTGTGAACCACCTGATAGGGTGTTGGGAGTCGAAGTCTGGTCCTCTGGAAGAGTAATACACATTCTAACCACTGAGCCATCTCTCCAGCCCATTGAATACCTATGTCCCACTGAAAAGTTCAGGCATTACACTGGCCAGCCCAGAGTTCCGTAAGAACCACGCAGGTGCAAAGGACCCCTTTAAAGGACTGACCCCTGCCCGTTTACGCTCTCTTGCTCTTACTCTCATCTTACTCTGTCTCTCTCTCTGTCTCATAGCTTATATCTCTCTCTCTCTCTCTACTCTACACGGGTTGGTTACCTCTCACTATATAACTGTTTCATCATGGCAGACTGGCACTCCGTTGACTAAGTAGCAATTATTTTCCCATATTCCCATCACAAAATAAACCATACCCCCTCTGTCTCTATAAATTTGCCTACTCATGCATTATTTCTCAACGTGTGGCTGGTATATTCGATCAATGATACAACCTCCAAGTTTTTAACCCTCGTTGTACCTTGTGACAGCACTTCATTCCTGACTGGACTTGATGATGTGTGCTTATAGACTCTGCCAACCCAGAGGAGTCTGAGGCAGGAGGGTCTAGAATTGGAGACCAGCTTGCCGTTACATAGTGAGACCTTCCTCCAAACACGCAAGGTCTCCCCCACCTCCAGTCCATGGATTTCATGGCTGAGCACACTGCATAAAGTATGTGTGCCTTGTTTTCACTTTTTGCCTGTTGTAGGTAAAGCCCTTATCAATATCGGTGTACAAGTCCCTGCCTTCAGTTAACTTAAATCTACACCCATGGGTGGTGGAATTTGCTGAACCTTGGCCATCTTAGTGACTGTGGTGATCTGAATGAAAAAGCCCCCCCCACAGGCTCACAGGGAGTGACACAATTAGGAGATATGACCTTGTTGGATCGGGCGTGGCCTTGTTGGAGGAAGCCTGTCCCTGGAGCTTTGAGGTTTCAAGAGCTCAAACTGGGCCCAGTGTCTCTCTCTCTCCCTGCTGCCTGCTGATCCAGATGTAGAACTCTCAGACACCTCTCCAGCACTGTGTCTGTCTGGGCTACACCATGCTTCCTGCTCCGTGAATCGTAGCGTTTTTGTTTTGTTTTGTTTTTTTTTAACTGGGGATGTGGACCGAAGTGTGTGCAAGGGTTTGCTTCTAGAAGTGGGGCTGACTCAAAAAGCAGACACATCACTGAGACACCCCACGTCAGCCATGGGCGATGGGGACCCCAGGAAGCTGCAAACCTGGAGCTCTCTGCACAACCCGTAGGCGGCGGCGTCTGGGCGGGAGTAACCTCCACAGCCAAATCAGCTCACCTGATGAGAGTCTTCCCTCCCACCAAGTGTTTACTGGGGGGGGGGCACCTCCAGAATCTCCCAGATTTTTCATGTGACATTTTGTTTGCTTCTCTGGTGGCTGGAGTGAGAAATGTTCCCCATTGTTTATGTTTGAACGCTTGGCCCCCAGTAGGTGGCGCTGCGTGGGGAGGTTATGGAAGCTTTAGGAGGTGGGACCCTGCTGAAGGAGTGCATCGCTGGGGGGGGGGGGCTTTTTAATTTGTAGCCTCACCGCTTTCCCGTTGGGTCTCTCTGTTCCATGTCCCTGGCTGAAGATATGATCTTTATACTTCTTGCTCCACCACCGACGGCCATGACGATTTTTAACTCTTCCCCGCCTGAACCCTAAGCCCCAGGGAGCCCTTCCAGAAGTTGCTTTTGGGGCTTGGTGTTGTATCACAGTCACAAAGAGCAACCGGTACACCTGTCCCCCGAGTCTCATGAGCCTTCCCCTCTAGAGGATTAGTTCGGAGGATGTTGACATACGGCACACACACGGGCGTGCACACTTGCGCGCGCGCGCACACACACGGGAAAGGGAGAAGGGACAGATAGGAAAATGCATTCGGTGTGAACACAGGTGACACACACACGGGGTGTTTCATGATTGCATTCAGTTCTTGCTGCTGGTGTGGCAGCGGCTGGGTGGGACAGCAGTTCTGGAACCCGTGGGGGGCAATGCTGGTAGCACCCAGCGGTCCCTCTGCCATGCTTATGCCCAGCCTTCCCCCCCCCCACCGGGGTGCAGGCCACCTTCTCTGCTTAAACGTCCTCGGGACCCCACGAAGCAAATTCCGGGCTGTCTCCTGTCAGCAGCAGAGGGAGCCCGCACTCTACCAAAAGGGATCAGGTTCCTAGTCCGCACTCCAAAGCAGAGGGGACAGTGAGTGTTACTGCTCTGTCCATGCCACACACCGTGTCCTCCCAGACAGAACCCGAATCTCTCCCCCCATACAACTCTGTTGCTGTAAAAACAAAACAAAACAAAACAAAACCGTGCTCCGCTGTGGGTCCGCGTGCGCAGATTCGCTCTTCAAAAGCCTCAGCCAGCTTGGTGGGCGGGTTGGGGCTTCAGGGCTGCTCTGGCTGCGCGCGCCTCCCATGCTCGGGGGGGGTTTCTACCTTCACCTACTGCTTCCTGGCAGTCTCTTAGCTCATGCGGCATCAGCCGGTCGGCTATGCCACGGAAGGCACCCCGTGAAAAGTCACCAACGGAGGCAAAATGCGAGAGGCAGGCGGGCTGGTCAGAGAGCCTCCTGACCTCTGCAGTTGTAGGTGAAGACTGGTCAGGACTTCTGTCTCATAGCTAGGAAGCACCGTGGTAGGCGCCACACCCACCCCCTTGACTTTTGGTGCTTTTGCCCTATAAACTATATCACACAGCGATGCTCTCATTCCTCCACGTCAAACTCAGCGCGTAAGCAAATGGTTAGCAATAGCAGAGGCTGAGACACTAATGCGCAAATGTTTCTTCAACTGTGCCGGCACCGCGTGGGGACCTGGCAAAGTTTGCGTGCGGGCCATTACACTAAAGCCAATCACGTGATTCCCACCCGATGCACATAAAAGTTTTTCTTACAGGAACTGGAGAGATGGCTCAACAGTTAAGAGCACTCATTGCTCTTGTAATGACCAGGGTTTGGTTCCCAGTATCCATGTGCAGTCTCACAGCCTATAACTTCAGTTCCAGGGCATCCAGCGTCCTCTTCTGACTTCTGGGGGGGGGGGCGCGGATGACACCCACATGCACGCGTACACACTCAAGCACACACGTATCACACACACACACACACACACAAATAAAACAGTATTTTAAATTTATGTTTACCACGCTGGTTAGCTTTAATCAGCCTGCTGTGTGCCAGAGTTGCCTAGGAAACAGGAGTCTCCACTGAGAAAAATGCCTTCATTAGATTGTCCTGTGGAGTTATAGATGGGTGTGAGTTGCCATATGGATGCTGGGAATTGAACCCGGGACCTCTGGAAGAGCATCCAGTGGTCTTAACCTCTGAGCCATCTCTCTACCCTCTTTCTGTTTTCAGGAATAAGTTATTACCAGTCTGTGCCGTGTGCTTGGCGGCGTTCCTGTGTCCACATAGGCGCAGAGCCACCCGCCACACTCAAAATGAAGTCAACGTCTGCTTGTTAAAGTGAGCCTCTCAGGGAAAGCCCGATCTGAAAAGCTATTGTTTTCGTAATATGGGGTAACTCAGGGGAGGGGGGCATCCTGGTCTCCACACTCAATCACCCACTTATTCATTCGAGAAG